ATTTTAGTATTTATCTAAAAATATGATTTTTTGTTAAAATTCTGATTTAGATTATTTTAATATCTTTTTTATCTTGAAATATTATTATTGAAACAAACTTTTTATACTTTTAGTCAATGTTCAAAAAAACGGTAGGCGCTAAGCGGGCGGTGATCGAGTGTCTTGCGTCTAGAACGCCTAATCGGAGCCTAGGCGATTTTAGGTGGTTTAAACGTTTATAACATAAAACATTATAAACATAATACTATATATAAAAGTTATATAAAATATCTATAAAAAAACTAAAAAATTATAAACAAAAACTAGATAAAACATTTATTTATATTTATATTAAACAATATATAAATATTTATATAACTATATATATATAGAAATAAAACTTAATTGAAATTAAAAAATACATTAAATAAAATCTATGTAATTTTAGGTAGTTAAGACGGTTATCTAGACGTTGCATAAGAGTCGAGATCTAACTATAAAACACTGCTTTTAGTGTTGGAAAAACGTCGAGATCTAACTATAAAGTGAAAAGAAAAAAGAAAAAGAAAATACGTTCATGGGAATAAGGATATGTATGAAATATAATTCAGAGCAACCAATTATTAATTAACACGTAGTCTCTTTTTTTTTTTTTTTTTTAAGAGAGAGATTCTTTGGTAACACCGATACGTATTTTCATGAACGATGCAATTTGTAGTCTTCTGCATTCAGCGTCAATCAGTGCTCTAATCTTAATATTTCGAGGCTTGCAACAAAAGAAAGAAATTAGTCCATTAATCAAAAAAATAAAATACTCTAGACTTTAAAAATATTTATTATAATGTCGGCTGAGGAATAAAGAGCACCGACAGAAGAATGCATCTGCCTTTATTCTTTTGCTTTGGAATTTTAAATACAAAACTTTGTGATCTCTCTCTCTCCAGAAATATCTTTGACCTCACAGATTCATTTACTGCTTATAATTATGAGTATTTGCAGTAATAATAACGATTTGAAAATAATCATAATACTACGTTTTAGTGGACCTTATGTGACTTTGTTGAATCATGGGAAATTTTAGTCCAAACGTAGATATCAAAATAATAACGTTGTAGACAAAATATATGGGTCCTGTAGCTAAAAAGATTAGCAAAAAAAACTTTGATGCGGACATATACATATGGATGACTTATAGTACTATTAATTAATTGGTGACTGTTTGTTTTCAATGACATAAAATTGTGTTTGATACTCCGGTATAAATATTCGTATTTAAAAATTAAAAATTTGGTAACCTGATTAAATTGTAAATATAAACATGGCATGACTGTTTGTAATAAATGTGTATCATGAATAAATACAGTTATACAATAATTCTATATTCAACCGCAAAATACCAACAAAATAATTTATTTTTGTCATTTGCAAATAATGGTGAAACAAATTCAAATGTTCTCTTTAGTTAACTAACACTGTATTGTATTGAAAAGTGTGTATCATTTGATCAGCCCCAATCCAATATATTTTGGAGTTTCGGGACAAAAACATTTTTGGCCTATTATTATAGTAACTATTTTTCTCAAAAATTTAAGTTTATTTTGTAAGAAAAATTGTTATTTTAAAATTTTGGGGGCCTTTATGTTTTTTTATAAAGAAGTGGGCCTTTTAAAATATAATTTTTATATTTACAATAAAATTTTAAAATATTTGGAACCTTTTTATATATAAATTTTTCAAAACAAAAGCTCCAGACTGCCGCACTTCCGCCATGAGCCGAGGCTGCATTTGATTTAGTGTATGTGTATTTAGAGAGATTCATACGAGGCGCAAACCGACATGACTTAACTCTGGTCCAGTTTACCATAGAGGGATTGAAACTACATACTTTAAAGTACTGTATTTGCCATGCCCATTTGCATCAAGAAGAGCAATGAGAAAACCGGGCCAAAAGTCTGGTACATATGTAGATGTCAATTGCCATTGGTTTGGTTAAATAAACCGGGCGAGGAGTTCTGGTACGGTCGTTATCGGTCAATTGTCGTAGACTCGTAGTAACATGACAATGTGCTTAAAGTTTCAAACTTTTCCACATGGGTGTGTTAGGATTTTAACCATTTGACTTTAATGTACATAGATTAGTAGATACTGACCAAACTCTTTTATGTCTGTCTAACTAAAAGCTCGAATCAACATATATTTATTAATTTCTTCTCCTTAGACTTCCACATGGACAACATCGTACATTTGATTCCTCTGTAAACCAGATATGTATTTTAAAGAGCTCACCAGTAATGAAGCACACTCACTCCTTAATCAGGCATCGGTTTATCGTGTACCCAGACCCCTTTGTTCATCAACCATTTTGGGAGATTATATTCTGAAAGGGCTCGTTGCAGCAAATCATCTGGTTTGACTCCATTTCTTAACATATGTTCATACAAGAACGCAGCTTCAACGAGTCTTCCAACCTTGCAACAACCACGAATGAGAATTGCGTAGGCAACAACATCAGGCAATATCTTTGCATCTATGGCTTGATGGAAGATATTTGTTGCTTCATCCACTCTTCCCTGTTTGCAAAGACCGTCGATTATGATGCTATAACTGATTATGCTTGGAGATATACCTTTCTCCTGCATATCCTCGAAAAGCTTGAAAGAACCTTCAATATCGACGGATTTTGAAAACGAATCCATTAGACAACCGTATGTGACAACATTCGGTTTAGGGCCCTTTTCCGTCATTATGGAGAACATCCTTATAGCACCATCCATATCATTATTTTTACAGAGTGCATGGATAAGTATAGTCAAAGTAACGGCGTTGGGTCCAAAAGGTGTAAATTTTAGCATCTCGAAAATCCTCGCTGCTTCATCTAACCTTCTCAAAGAGCAGTAGCCGCATATCATTGTGTTATATGTCACAATATCAGGCTCCATCTTTCCTTCAAGAAGATTATTGAAGAACTTAGAAGCCTCCTTCACGCTTTGTCCTTTGAAAAGCAAATTAATAACAACATTACATACTGCGATGTCCGCAGGAATTTTATTCCTCTGCATAAGATCAAAAAGCTGAAGCCCAATGGTTGGCTTCATATGCTTGCAGAATGCATCCATTAGGGTACAGAACGCTACAGCATCAGGTTCCAAACCCATTTTGAACATCCGGAAAAATAGAAATAATGCCTCTTTTAATTTACCTTCCATGACAGACACCCTCATAAGCGTGGTGAATGTGGCTACATCAGGTTCTATACCATATAGCCTCATTAATCTAAACACCTTCAAGGCCTCGTCAAGACGATTTAACCTACACCAGCCATCTATTAAGGAATTAAAAACTACAACATTGGGCCGGACCGACTGGCCTAGAGTCTTAACAGAGAATCTCAAAGCATGGAGCATCTGCCCTTGCTTGCAAAGGCCATCGACAAGCACACCATAGATGACAACATCAGGTGGATAACCCATCTTTATCATATCCTCATACAAAGCAAACCCGGATCTCAAGTTCCCACACTTGCAAAAACCATCAATGAGACTGCTATAAGTTACAACGGATGGCTCCAGACCACGTTTCAAGATCTGAGTATATATACCAAAAGCCTCGTAAATCCTACCATCCTGGCACAAGCCTTTTATGAGAATGGTGTAAGTAACCACATTAGGGGAAATCCTTTGACACAACATTCTCTTGTACACGTCAGACGCTGTTGCTAAATCCCCAAATTTTACATAAACATCAATCGTTGAACTGAACACAACCACGTCCAAATACACACCTTTATGTAAGGCCTGCGAGAAAAGTTTATGACCCATTCCTAACATCCCTGCTTTGAAGCATCCATCAATCAGAGTGCTGTAAGCGATCAAGTCTGGTGCTATTCCTTCCCGTTCCATAACTTTAAAAAGCTCAAATGCTCTATCCATTTCACCTCTTTTGCAAAACCCATTAATCAACGTACAAAAAGTCACCACATTAGGTGCCGGACCACAATCCAACACCAAACGTAACAACCGAGAAGCTACCTCTATCTGATCAACCGAAAGACCCTTTAAAATCTTATTACAAGAAACTACATCAACACGAAAACCTCTCTCCATCACTAGTCGGTGAAAATCTAAAGCCTTTGTAGCCTCTCCTTTTCGGAAAAGAGCATCCAACACAAATCCATGAGCTCTCACACTACATAGTTTATCAAAATGATCAGCTATTAAGTCAATACGAGAAGCATCAATCAAAGAATTTAGCATCCTATATACAGAATCCTCCGGTATAACTACACCCAATTGAGTACTATACACAAATATCTTCATAGCCTCATCAACCATACCATATCTACAACAACATTCCATCAAAAACCGGCAAACATCACCATGGTTCAAATAAAACTCCATTGACCTATCCCTAATCGAACCCAGAACGTGGAAAGGATTTCCACGATTGAAAATCATTTCATCGAACACCTTATCTGCAACATCGAACATCCCATTTCGTATCAAAACATGAGCAATGGTATAGAAACAAGGATCCCTTCCAGACATCTCTGCCCATCGAAAGTACTCTAACGCAGAATTGGGTTCTGATTCAAGCGAAAGAAGGACCAAATTCGTCTCGTTTCGATGCGAATTTGAACCGTAGACAGAATCTAATAAGTTAAAGTTTCCTTCTTTAATTGCTTTAGAGATACCGGCGACGAGGGCTTTAGCAGAATCAGACGAAAACCCACGAGAGTTCAGACGATTCAGCTTCACAAACACAGAGAAAATCGGCGGGAAAATCTTGCGTAATTGTGAAGACGATGAAGAAAAAAGAAACATAGTTTCACAAAGTTCCCATTGCCGCGAAAACAGTGTGAAAAATACAACCCGATTTGTCTAAATTGACCCGATATAACCCGAACCGACTTAAGAAGAGTATGGGCCTCTAATGGACGGCCCAATATATTTATATAGTGGAAGCGACGTCCTCCATCTTAAAACCCTAATTTTATTAATTACGATTACGTATTAGCCGCCGTTGCAAGGACCCGGTTTATATCAACCCGACCCGACTTATGGGCTTTACTGGTTCGGCCCAATAGTCTGATGAAATACGTTTCTTTATTTAACGGAACCGATTCTCTCCTCTCAAAACCCTAAATGTCTTACTCTTGTTTCCACCGCCGCGCTATGTAAATATCCGGCGTCGGAGTTTCTGATTGCCAATGTAGATGATTTCTTTCATGGGTTTTGCTTTCATTTACAATATATCCTAAATCGGTAGCAAAGTTTGATGCTTTTTATTTTATTGGTTTAAATTTCTTGTGTTGTGCTTTGTGATTTGGGTTAAGAGATTGATGAAATTGCACTATGTTTCGAAGGCTATGTCGATTACAGTGACATAGTCTTTGAGCAAAAGTGCAGAAAGAGAGAGCTGTTAAATCAGCAAGCGGCCAGACAACCGTCGGGATAGATCCACAGGTGAAGCGGATTATTCCTCTGCTTTCAGCTACTAAATCTATCCTACAGATTTGTGAACATAATGACTATCATTTGTTTGTGTTATTGAGTTGTTGTTATTGCACCTTGTATTGAAAGGTCATGCCTCGTTCTGATGGCATGTCCATTTTCGAGGATGCATAAAGGAATAGCTGTTAATTCAGTAAGCGGCCAGACAACCGTTGGGATAGATCCACAGTTGTTGCGGTTTTTCTTTCCGCTCTCAACTACTAAATCTATCCCACATTTATCAGTCCAACTCTTCACAATTGATTGGATTTCTGTATAACCTCTAAACAGATTGGAGACTTGGGGTTTGAGATGTGAATTTACTGTTGGAATTTGACCTAATTATCTGTTATTACAAGGGTGTCATTTGCTTTATCCTGACCAAAGGTTTCACAGTTGGGGCTATTGTTGGAGTTTGAACTTGGACCAAAGGAATCCTAGTGGAAGTGAAGCTAATTGTTTCACTGCACAAAATAAACCTTCAGGACTTGAGTAACAGTTTCAGTATTTTGAGCTTAATTATATTAGAAAGTGGTTGATAATATTTCAACACTCAAGAAGCATAGTTATTCATAGTGAACTAATTCCAAATATTTAGTGTTAAACTTAAATTTAAAACTCTTAGGTGGATGTTGTATTCTAATTGTCATCATTGGTTTGAGATATGAACTTATTGTTGATATTTGACCTAGTTATCTGTTATTACAAGTGTGTCATTTTGCTTTGTCCTATGTTTTCTCAGCTGATTCCTGACCCAAAGTTTCACTGCACCAAGTAACTTGAGGACCTATAAAACACTTTGAAATTGATAGCATGTTAGCAACTCTGTTTAAGAATTTTGAACTGTAAGAAATCTAAACAGTGGTTAATTACATTTGAAACCGGTTGATTAATTTTCACCACGCAAGAAGCATAGTGACTAGTGAACACATTCCAAATCTCTATTGTTCATTTTTAATGATAAAATTCTAAAGATATCATTGTATGGTAAATCCAAAATAGTGTTCTTATTTCCTCACTTCTGATTTTGGCCTTGAGCTTGGTAGACAAAAAGTGGAGACGACTAGTGGTTAATTATTAAAGATGATTGTTATTGATTTGTGGCTTTAGAAGCTCAAGTAAATTTAGTTGGAACAAAAGTGACAATACTATATGTACGAATTAAAAGATTATTTTTTCCAGTTGAGAAGTTCCAAAATTCTTTTTACCAAAAAGCCTGCCCTATGTAAAGAAATTGTTGGTATTAAACTTGTAAAATTCTTATTTGCGGCAGTACAAAAAGAATAGATTTGAAGTTTTCTATTTTGATGGTAAGAAACTGTTGTACCGTATTAGGTATTACCATGACATACGACAATTGCTACATCTACAACATGGTACAAACCCAATTAAAGGCTAGCCACTACCCACAAACACCGATCCGTAAATAATTTGGTCTTTCAACACGTGACTAAATTTAATCATGTGTTATTGTCCTCCCAATTTAAGCAAGGGACCCATGAATTCAATCCCAAAAATCTAATTTTCTTTTGCCTGAATTACCTTTTTTTGGGCTTTTTCAAATTATTTGCTTGGTAATTGTTTTTCAAAATATGTATAGTTTATTAAACTTTTGAATGGTTGGTTCAAATGATGCAAGTCAGACGATGTGTAGTTGCGTACCAATATTTTGGTAAGCAAAACGTCGGACTATAGTATAGAGCAGACAATAGTATGCATTACAACATACAATGATACGTTGGTGTGAAGCTTTTAGAAAATGGAATGAAAAAAGACCAACAATAAATTTATGATGGTATCCAATTTTTATGTTCAAATATTAGTATGGAAATTTTTAATCCGCAATAGTGCATATTGGTCCGCAATGATGAATGATGAATTAAATCGGACTAATCAAACTTTAGTCTGATCCACAACATAGTACACAACCATTCAAAACCTAATAGTGTGATACAAATTTGGTATCTTTTGTTAGGTTAAACAAAAAATATAGTTTAGTTTGTACATTTTCATTTTGGTTTGAAATTGAGTTTTAACTTTTAAGTTTCTAAATCATGTATACTTGGTTATTTTCAAATCCAAGACAAATTAATATTAGGAAACTAAAATAAAATAAAAAGCATTAGTGAAGAGCTTAGTGTGTTAGTTCTTCCTCAATTTTAAGCAATTTAGTAAACTAATTAAGAGTATCTTAATTAGATGTTTGTAGTATAAAGCACATGCGTCAATTGATAGATCTGAGGGAGAGGAGTCTCTCCGGCACCGGTTTCCTTCTCCGGTTTGCCTCTGCTCCTCTCCCTTCCTGCCTCTTAGTTGTTTGTTCTTCATCGTCGACAAAGAGGGTTCTTGGACCAGCGGTTGGTGTCGGCCTTGCTTCTCCGGTGGTGGTGTGATGTGGTAGAACTGCCCTAGACGCTTTTCGTGGGTGCGAATCCGACATTGGAATTGCTTTTTGTCGTTGTACTACTGTTGAGGACTCGGTGGTTTGGCTTAAAGTGATTCGGCTCGCGGTGTCGGTTTTGGATCTGTGGATGGCGGCGGAAGTCGACAGGCGGATCGGAGGCTTTTCACCATGTGTTGGGGCGATTTGCGGTTGTTCTTTTCAGATCTGGGCTGGCTGGCTAGGGTTCTGGCGGTTGTGGTTGTGTTGAGCCGACGACCTAACCGTTACCGAGCTGGTTTTCGTCTCTCCCGGTTGAAGCAGGTGCAGTCTAGGTTAGTGGTTCGGTGTGCCGGAGCAGGAGGTGGGGGGTTAGATCCGAGATCCTTCTTGTTGCTAGGTCGGGGACAGGAAGGTGGTGGGTCCGGTTATCTTCGGCTAGGTTCAGTCCGGAAAGGGAGTTACGGGTAATATCCGACGGAGGCTCTAGGGTTTTGGTTTGGAATCGTTAGCTCCAATCGAAGCTTTGGAGCAGCCGAAGGTGAAGCGAAGTAGTGCCCTTTGTTAACGCCGGATTTCCTGGACGATTAGTCGATGTCTCCGGTAACTCGCACCCGGTTCCGAGCTCTACTACCGTCGGGCCTCCGATTTGCTTTTCCTTTTTTGTGGGCCGTTTTTGGGCCGTGTAACTCTGTTTGTCGTGCCCATTTGGGTTTACTAATATATTTAAAAATTAAAAAAAAAAAAAAAAAAAAAAAAAAAAAAAAAAAAAAAAAAAGCACATGCGCAAATTCGAGATCCAGATCCATCTTCATGATCTCACTCATTTGTCTTCTCCATTGTTAAAAATATTTCTTCCCAGAAGCAAGAATCTTAAAAAAAAAGCCATTCAATGACACGAGGCGAAATATATCTTTTTTTCCAATATATAAATAATTGTAATTCATTCTTGTGAAATCTGGGTTTATTCGACAAAAAGGGGTTTGTTTTGTTTTCTTCTTCAAGCATCTCTGAATCGTTCCAAAAGCTTCATTATTCATCAACTTAACGGAGCTTTAATAACAAACGACGGAGATCTCAAGACGACCCTCGATTCTCTCACGGTTCGTGTTTCTTCACCTCTCGTAAAGATTTAAACTTTTGTTATCTTTCATCAATCTCTGTTTTTGAGTGATCTAGTTCTAAAATCTTTAGTCTAAGCTCCTTTTTCGTTTTCTTTTGGATTCTGTTAATGCATATTGAAGATACCCATCTGAGAAAAGTAATAAAAAACTCTCCTTTTTTGTTTTCCCAATTATGACGAACCCTAGATTCAAAATTCAGAATCTGTAGCAAATTTGAGTAATTTATAAGGATTGTTGCAGATATCAAAACCTTATTGGGATGTGGAGAGTTCTAATCCGTTTAAAATCTGGATGACGTTATGCAGAAGCGGAGAATCATCACTGTGAACCCCTCGGCGTCTATTGAGATGAGACAGTACGAGAATAATGAAGTTCCGTACTCAAGCGTCGGTGGTGATGAGGTTCCGTCATCGCCTAAAGCTACCGATAAGATTCGGAAAGTTTCGATGTTGCCACTTGTTTTCCTCATATTCTATGAAGTTTCAGGAGGTCCTTTTGGTGTAGAGGATAGTGTGAATGCAGCTGGACCATTGTTAGCTCTTTTAGGGTTTGTGATCTTTCCTTTCATTTGGAGTATTCCTGAGGCTTTGATTACTGCGGAGATGGGCACAATGTTTCCCGAGAATGGCGGTTATGTCGTGTGGGTTTCCTCTGCTTTGGGGCCATTTTTGGGGTTTCAGCAAGGTTGGATGAAATGGCTTAGTGGTGTTATTGATAATGCGTTGTATCCTGTTCTGTTTCTTGATTATTTGAAATCTGGAATCCCGGCTCTAGGTAGCGGTTTGCCGAGAGTTGCAGCGATCTTGGTGTTGACTATTTTGTTGACGTATCTGAACTACAGGGGACTAACTATAGTTGGTTGGGTTGCTGTGCTTATGGGAGTTTTCTCGATCCTTCCGTTTGCTGTGATGGGTTTGATTTCGATTCCGCAGCTAGAGCCTTCAAGATGGCTTGTAATGGACTTAGGGAATGTGAACTGGAATTTGTATCTAAACACGCTTTTCTGGAATCTAAACTATTGGGACTCGATCAGCACACTAGCTGGTGAAGTCGAAAACCCAAACCATACGCTTCCAAAGGCTTTGTTTTATGGTGTGATCTTAGTTGCTTGTTCTTACATCTTCCCTCTTTTGGCTGGAATCGGGGCAATCCCGCTAGAGCGTGAGAAATGGACAGATGGGTATTTTTCTGACGTGGCCAAAGCTCTCGGTGGAGCGTGGTTGAGATGGTGGGTTCAAGCAGCTGCAGCTACATCAAACATGGGAATGTTTATAGCCGAGATGAGTAGTGACTCTTTTCAGCTTCTCGGAATGGCTGAGCGCGGTATGCTTCCCGAGTTCTTTGCCAAAAGGTCACGTTACGGGACACCTTTACTAGGGATTCTGTTTTCAGCTTCAGGCGTTGTGCTCTTGTCCTGGCTAAGCTTTCAAGAGATTGTAGCTGCAGAGAACTTACTCTACTGCGTTGGAATGATCTTGGAGTTTATAGCATTTGTTAGAATGAGAATGAAACACCCGGCTGCATCAAGACCGTACAAAATACCTATTGGAACCACAGGTTCGATCCTCATGTGTGTTCCTCCAACCATACTGATCTGTGCTGTTGTAGCACTCTCGTCTCTTAAAGTAGCTGCAGTGAGCATTGTGATGATGATCATTGGTTTCGTGATGCATCCTTGTCTGAACCATATGGATCGAAAAAGATGGCTCAAATTCTCCATCAGTTCTGACTTACCGGACCTTCAACAGCAGACTCGAGAGTACGAAGAAACTCTAATACGTTAGCAGTGTTCTTTGTTCTTTGCCTCATCTATGTTTAAGTACAGAGCCAAAAAGCTTGAATTTCATGGTCTGTACTCTGCTTATTCACAGCTTGTTCTAAAAGTTGTAGTTTTTTCGTAAAGTTAGGTTATCGTTAAATACGGTTTTAATAAAATGTGCAATGCTTGTATCTTTTTCCTTTTTTGTCATTGCCATTACTATTGTCGATTTGTGTAAAACAAGTTCAAAACCTTCGATTAAAGTCTAGTTAACAGTGTCAAATCTTGGATCTTTGGATAAGGTTTCATCGCTAATGATTGGAAAGAGAGAAAAAACTTCACAAAACCCCCAAAAGCATAATCAGGACAAGTATCCGTGTTTGACCATTCTGTCTCAATTGATCGGAGATTCCATCGCCAGCGTCTCCGTCTGTTTGCTCAACTTGATTATTTTATTAATATTTAGGACTTGTCATTTGATATGGACAATCTCAAAACAGAGAACCACAACTTCTTCAATCCTTTCCAAGATATGACAACTATAACGATATGGGTGAGTTTTCTTTTCTTCTTAAAGCATAGCTCAAATGCTCAATCTTTGTTAATCTTCAGACAAAGAAGCTCTTCAGACAACCATCGATTCTCTCACGGTTCGTACTTCTTCTACCTCTCGTAAATGTTTAGACTTTTGTAGCAAGGATTCAAGAATTTCTCTGATTGTTTTAAGCTTTTTTCTTGTTTCTTGTTGATTCAGAAGGGAAGAATCATTACCATGAGAGACTATAACATGAATGACTTTGCTTATGGTAATCTTCAAGATGAGTCTAATGATGTTCCATCGTCTAAAGCAGCAACCAATTCGCTTCAGAAAGTTTCAATGTTACCACTCGTTTTCCTCATATTCTACGAAGTCTCGGGAGGTCCTTTTGGTGCTGAAGGTAGTGTGAATGCAGCAGGACCATTGTTAGCTCTTTTAGGGTTTGTGATCTTCCCTTTCGTTTGGTGTATCCCTGAGGCACTAATCACTGCAGAGATGAGTACAATGTTCCCAATAAATGGCGGTTTTGTGGTTTGGGTCTCCTCTGCTTTAGGACCCTTTTGGGGGTTTCAAGTAGGTTGGATGAAATGGCTTTGCGGTGTTATCGATAACGCTTTGTATCCTGTTCTCTTCCTTGATTATTTGAAATCCGCTATCCCGGCTTTAGCTACTGGTTTGCCAAGAGTTGCATCGATCTTGATCTTGACTCTATTGCTTACTTACTTAAACTATAGAGGACTAACCATTGTTGGTTGGACTGCTGTGTTTATGGGAGTTTTCTCTATGCTTCCGTTTGCGGTAATGAGTCTCGTTTCGATTCCACAGCTTGAGCCTTCGAGATGGCTTGTGATGGATTTAGGAAATGTCAACTGGAACTTGTATCTCAACACGCTTTTCTGGAATCTAAACTATTGGGATTCAGTTAGTACACTAGCCGGTGAAGTGGCAAACCCGAAGCAAACACTTCCTAAGGCTTTGTCCTACGGTGTTATCTTTGTCGCTCTTGCAAACTTCCTCCCTCTTTTGTCTGGAACCGGGGCTATCCCGTTGGATCGTGAGTTATGGACAGATGGTTATTTAGCTGAAGTTGCTCAAGTCATCGGTGGAGGATGGTTGCGGTTGTGGGTTCAAGCGGCTGCCGCTACATCAAACATGGGAATGTTTTTAGCCGAAATGAGTAGTGATTCATTTCAGCTTCTTGGAATGGCTGAACTCGGTATGCTTCCCGAAATCTTTGCGAAAAGATCTCGTTACGGAACACCTTTACTAGGGATTCTGTTTTCAGCTTCAGGTGTTTTACTCTTGTCTGGATTAAGCTTTCAAGAGATTGTAGCTGCAGAGAATTTGCTTTACTGTGGTGGAATGATTTTGGAGTTTATAGCATTTGTTAGAATGAGGATAAAATATCCGGTTGCATCGAGACCGTATAAGATACCCGTTGGAACCGTTGGTTCGATTCTGATATGTGTTCCTCCCATTGTACTGATCGGTTTCGTTGTTATCCTATCTACTCTCAAAGTGGCTATAGTGAGCTTTGTGATGGTAATATTTGGTTTCTTGATGAAACCTTGTTTGAACCACATTGATCGACAGAGATGGGTCAAATTCTCAGTCAATTCTGATTTGGCAGAGTTTCAGAAGGAGAATTTGGATTGGGAAGAGTCTTTGTTACGTTAGACTTAAGATTATTTGCAAAGGTAAACAAACTGTATATTTTTTCTGCTTGTTTTGTACTTTTTGTTCAAATTCTTTGTTCTCTGTTTAAATAAGGACAAGAATATATGTATGTGTAATTTGTTGTATCACAAATAATGGGCATATGGGTCAGATAGGCCCATTTAAATTTAAAAGGCCCAATAAGCAGTACAGAATTCATTTGTAGATCTACTGTTTATGTGATCGAGAACGAAGAAATGCTCAATGTTTGAAAGAAAAAACCCTAAACCTCCAAAATTTGCTTCGAGAAGAAAATGAATGGTGTTTCTCGTTATCTTCGAGCTTCTTCACTTCCGTCGTTGATTCGCAGCTATGGTGGAATCAGTTCGGTCTGTCGATTTTCGTCTCAATCTGATGGCTTCTCTGGTTTGTGATTTCCCATTCTTTAGCGAATTTGCTTCAATTTTGAGTAAATGGCTCAGATTAACGAGTTGATTTGGGATCAATCTTTCTGGGTTTTATCTGATTTATGCATTTGTACTGTCAAGTTTTGGATTCGGCGTTTAAGTTTTTTCACTATCGTCAAGTGATGTTGTTCTCCGTGAAAATGTGTAATTTCGTGATTAGGGATTGTTCGATTCGCGTTAGGATTGTAACCTTTACCTAGGAGTGCAAAATTGAGGATTGAATAAATTAGTCTCGCTTAATCTCAAGGATCAGCTTCTTGTTGGTTCTTAAACAATTTGCTTTATTCAGAAATTAGGCAATAGTTGCAATTGGTAACAAGAAATCTACAAATTCTGAATATAGAAAACAATAATTTAGTCAGTTTTCGAGATTATGTCGTCCTGTGGAATAGCTTTAGTCTTTAGTTGAGAAATCATCGGAATTATGCGAGGAGGGAATAAAAACGTATTTGTATTGATTGATTTTTCTTTGAACAGTAGGGAGATTCAGAGAGCAAGGGCCAGTTCCTGGAGACTCTGCAAATAATTCAGGTTTACCAAACACGGGAAGAACCGGTTCCCCTTTGGAGCCTAACACTTCGACTTTGAGAACTTTTGGTGATATGAAAGCAGGCTTGTTAAACAAAGGAGTAAACGGTTTCTCGGCTCCTAATGCTCCTCCTACCTTCAAAAGTTCAATGAGATCAAGATTACCTAACTCCCTACCTGATCAGTTCAGTCAGACAAATCCAGGCTTACCAAACACGGGAGGAAGTGGATTCTCTGCTCCTAGTGTATCAAGCTACGAGAATTTCACTCAATCTTCACTTCTCAATGAGAATCCCCGCAGTGGAGGGAAGTCGAGCGACCTGGATTTTGTTAGAGAAGTAATAGAAGATGAAGGAAGGAGAACCTCAGGGATATTCTCTCATTTCCATCGCCCAAACCTTGAAACGAATGCTGACATCATTCACATCAAGATGTTGCGGAACAACACTTTTGTCACGGTTACAGATTCCAAAGGAAACGTCAAATGCAAAGCAACATCCGGTAGTTTACCCGATCTGAAAGGTGGACGGAAGATGACAAATTACACAGCTGATGCAACCGCCGAAAACATTGGGAGAAGAGCTAAGGCTATGGGACTGAAATCTGTGGTGGTTAAAGTGAACGGATTTACGCATTTCGGGAAGAAGAAGAAAGCCATTATTGCGTTTAGAGACGGTTTCACCAACTCTAGGTCTGATCAGAATCCGATAGTGTACATCGAGGACACGACTAGGAAAGCTCATAATGGTTGCAGAAAACCAAGGAAACGTCGGGTGTGAAAAGAAAACATCGCATGTCTTCTCTTGTTATTCTATGGTCACTATAGAAACCATCTGTTTTGGCAAGTTCTCTCTTTTGTTGGTTATGTTTTCTCCTTTAAATCCGAGGAATATCTGGATTAACAAAGGGATTTGATTAATAATCCTAAACTTTTTCCTGTTTTGACTTATGTTGCATGGAAACGGAAACGGAAACGCGGAAGCGAAACGTTTCGGAAACGAGAAACGATTTTTTTCTAAAATTAGGGATTGGAAACGTTTTGGAAACGTATACATATATATATATATATATAACATTAACTTAAAACTATATTAAAAATGGTTTAAACAATACAAGTCTAAAACATCAAATAATAAATAGGTTAACTAAAATTCTAAAAAATAAAAATTAAAAGGTTCAAATCCAAATATTTAATTTAGACCAACATTTTCATTCTCATTTTCATTAGTTTCATCAAAGATCATATAAAACTGCATCCTAACCTGGTTTGTAGAGAGAAAGATCTTAAAACTCAGAGTCTTCCAAAATTAGTTATATGTATTATAAATCTTAATATTACTAATTTTTATTTATTAAGTTTTCAAAGTCAATAAAACGGATTCGTCGCGTTTCCATTTTGGAAACGTGAGTTTCCATCGTGTTTCCAAACATAGATTTTTAGGAAACGTGTTTCCGTGATGTTTTTCGTATTTCCGAAGAGTTTCCGTTTCCGAAACGTTTCGGAAACGGGAAACGGACCTCGGAGAGAGTTTCCATGCAACATAGGTTTTGACCCATTAAGTCTTAATCCAAATCTTAATCCCAAAAATTTTATAATCTGGTTTTACATAAGATTTTAGACCATAAGCCTCGTCCAAATTCTGGTCACACATATATAAGCGATAAAAAAATTTAAAAATAGTTATTGCTTTGAAAATAAATCGCTCTGTGAGATTGAGATTCCGATACGGCGGACAAAGCAATTTGATAAACCTAGGGTTCCGATTATGACAGCGGCGGAATCAATCGCCGCATCGATTAACCAAATTGATGAGAAGAAACAAAATCTGAAGAAAGCTTTTGATGATCTCCAAGCTTATCGATCTCTCCTTTCACCGTCTTTTAACCTCTCATGGTCTGAGATTGACTCTCACTTTTCTTCTCTCCAGTCTTCACTGTTTAACCGCTTTCGTCTCCTCCAATCAGCCGCGACTACTTCCAATTCTGATAAAATTGAAGCATCCACGGCGGATACGACGGAGACACCGCTCCTTTGGCCGGAATTGAGAAAGTTTTGTAAGAAGAATGACGGAAAAGGTTTGGGTAACTACATGATTGATAATTTGAAGAAGCGGTTATCGATCTATCTAGAACTTCCTGATGCGATTCGATGCTCAGAGAATCCAGCAGCTTTGGTTCTAGACGCAATCGAAGGTTCTTACCATTGCTCTTCCTCTTCCTCGGCGAGAGTGATCGATGTGAGAAGGATCTTCGTTTTGTTATTAGAAGCTTTGATTGAGATCAATGCGAATCTTACGAATGATTTGAGAGAAAGAGCTAGGACTCTTGCTTATGATTGGAAACCTAATATAGGTAACAAACCATCAGAAGCGTTAGGGTTTTTGCATTTGGTTGCAGCTTTTGAATTGGGGTCTTTGTTTAGTAATGAGGAGATTTGTGATTACATTTTCTTGATCTCTAAGTATAAACAAGCAACAACGATCTGTAGGAAGATTGGTTTAGATAGAAATCGAATCGGACTTCTCGTTCAGAAGTTCTTGGATACTGGGAGATTACTTGTTGCTATCAAATTCATTTATGAGTTTGAGATGACTGGTGAATTTGAACCAGTTTCGATTTTGGAAACTAGTTTGAAGAACTCTAGAGAAGCTGCTAAGAGAGTTTGCGCCGAAGGGAATTACTCTCTCAAGGCGCAGAACGAAGCTACTGATAAAGAGCTAAGTGCTTTGAGAGCAGTGATTAAAGTCGTGAAAGAGAAAAACATCGAGTCCGAGTTTTCTGAAGAGAAACTCGAAGAATGTGTTAAGGAGTTGGAGGATCAGAAAGCTAAGAGGAAGCGTGCCACTAAGTTAAACTCACCTGCTAATCCTCAACAACCACAACAGCAAAAGGTTGATAAGAAGCGTCCTCGAGTTGCTAATGGTTCAATTATGGAATATAATTTGAGAGTCCCACCTCTGAGTCAGCAACAACCTCTTTTGCCTAATCCTAGCCAGAGTTTACAAGTGAACCCATATGGTCTCTTGAGCTCAATATTACCTGGTGTTGCTGTCCCATATGGCAATCCATTGGCTCTATTTGGCTCGGTTCCAGCTCCAGCTCCTCGACCAGTCTTTTATGAGCAGCAAACTGGTTATGGTAGATATGGTATGCCACCACCTCAGTACCACCCACCTTTCTACCCTCAGTAGCAATCTCCTTTGGTAAGATTTATTATACGAATGCAAGCGATACTGAGAGGATTTCTGGTCGAAGATGTCTATGCTCTGTGTTTTGAGTAAATTTCGAAAGCTTGACATAGATAACACTCAATAGATATAGTCGCTACTTTTGTGATAATATAAGAGCAAATTGATCCTTTTTTGCTTCTTCTTTTCCTTCTGAAGTGATTGTAGAGGATCTTATTGCCTTGATTGTACAGTTTTATAACTTAACCTTAATCTCCTTGTTAATTAGTATAGTTTTCTTGTGGAGGAATGGTCTTTATGAATTGATCTAACATTTATATTCCTTGATTTGGTAGGTAATCTGCCAAGATTTCTTCCCTTTTTTTTTTCTTCTTATAATCACCAAGATCCCTTTTGGTTTGATTTGTTGTTGTAGTGGAAAGAAATCTACGTTTCTGAATTTCTAAAATGTTATGCTCCAAAGGATAATTTCAACTGAAACATAAATAGTTTTTTTCTGAGTACATATTTAAAACAGAATTTACAAAAGGATATGCTTATAGGTTTTTTTTATGTTTTCTGATGGAAGAGAAAATAGAGTAAAATTAAAATTGTGGTTTCAATGGAGAAGGAACATGTTCGATATGCAAAAAAAAAGAAAACACAGAACATGTTCTTTGTTGGAACAGTTGTACCCACATTGATCGGAATAAGCCAATCAACGAGGTGCCTGAATTCCACGTATACAGTATCTATCTATCTCTAAAAGATTTATTTCCTTTAAAGAAAATATTTAATAGTTATGGGCCTGAGATTAGAGGTCTCTTGAGTCTTGCCCATATATATAACTCACGCGTCGTCCTCGTATTCTTCGTCTTACACTGATTAAATTCTCCTTACCTGTCTCAACTTCCGACGTTTATTCATCATGGGTTTGAAGGTACGTTTAGATCCATCTGAACCAATCCGATCTCGGTTTTGGTTTCGGTTTCTGTTTATTTACTCGGATCTAGTTTTCGTAATCGATGTACGATTTTTCACCGTGTTGAGTTTGTTGTGTTCATGAATCATGAATCCTGAATTCTTCGATTGATTTCTAGATTTTCTGTGTTAGTAGACTTGTTTGATCTAGATTGGGCTGTACATGTTATTTGTTTTCTCTCGGGAAAACTGATTTTGATATCCAGTTAACGATTAGAAAGAGTTTTAAGTTATGTAAAAAAATTTCAATTATAGTTAAGAGTGATCACTGTATGGAATTGAATTATACTTATCAAGCTTTTTCTCTGTATGATCTTGTCCATGTACTGTTCTTATGAGTGATTGGTCAAACATTGTTTGCAGATGGGTAATATAGATTTGAATCTAAGTTAGGTTTGGTTTTCTGTTGAGTTTGATTTGAAGTCTTTTTGTGAGAATTTGAGTAGTAATATTTGTGTGATTGTGTTTTAGGTTATTAGATTCTTTCTCCTGATTTGTTGATTAATATATATGCAGGAGGAATTTGAGGAGCACGCTGAGAAAGTGAATACGCTCAAGGCGTTACCATCGAACGAGGATTTGCTCATTCTCTACGGACTCTACAAGCAAGCCAAGTTCGGGAATGTGGACACCAGTTAATATTTTTCTTTTTCTCTGCATTTTAAGATCCTTTAGTTTTTGCTTCTTGGTTCAATTTTTGCAATGTTGTTGCCAATGTGTTTTTTTTTTGTTTATTGATTCAAAGGTCGTCCTGGAATGTTCAGCATGAAGGAGAGAGCCAAGTGGGATGCTTGGAAGGCTGTTGAAGGTAAAAAACAAATTCAAGAGATGGAACTTTTTTAGCTTAGTGATTTGCGATTCTTGTCTCAAGTTCAACACTTTTCTTTGCTTTGGGGAGCTAAATTTGAACTGTCATTGTTGTCGGTTTGTTTATGATGTCAGGGAAATCATCGGAAGAAGCCATGAATGACTATATCACTAAGGTCAAGCAACTCTTGGAAGATGCTGCTTCCAGTGCTTAAACCTGATGGAATCATATGATTGATCAATCCTCCTCTGCAGTAACTTTATCTTAAGCAATCAAATAACATAGCATAAGACTTGTTCTTGCTCTTGTGTTTCTATCATATTAAATCTCTCTACTTTGTGACCTTTGTGACATGGTTTACTCTCTTTAAAATACTTGATATTGGTCTAAAGACTCTAAACAAAGAATCATGATGCAAATTAAATCCATAGGTTAAAAAAAAAAAAAAAAAAAAAAAAAAAAAAAAAAAAAATCCATAGGTTATGTTTGGTCGGTCCGTGATATGATCTTGTTGAATTGAAGATGAAGCTCATATATGGTCCGTATTTGTCTTTCTCCATGGTTAATCCATCGCATTCAATAGAAAACTTTGTTTTTATTTCAATTTTGGAGTACATAAAGACAAAAAGCTGGAAAAAGGGAACGTGGCAGAAATGTTCAATTTGTATGTGGTTTATATTATCTAAAGTCAAATTCGTAAATAAATAGACGTTTTTGTTTTAAAGTGTCCCAATACCTACAGATTTGAGGGCTATAATTTGGTAGATGATAAATCAGTAATTTTTATTAAGTAGATCACAATTAGTGATAATTTATTGATAGTAGGCTAGTTTTTTTTTAATAATATTTTCTTAATTAGATATACCTTAATTAGATATAATTTATTGATATATAAATATTAGTATGCTCAACATACAATTAATTATTTATTCTACAATATATTTAATTTGTTGAATTTAGGTATAAAAATAAATAATTAATTGTATGTTGAGCATACTAATATTTATAGCCCAATTATTTGTGTTAATGTCGTCTTTATATAACAATCAAAGCTTAAATCGTTGTTACCAAAAAAATTGACGAAAATACGAAGATAATTATTAATTGGTGTTTTCATAGAAAATAAAATGTATCTCATGCACTACAATGTTTTAAATCCCGACAAGAAAACTAACCATAAGAAATTTCAAATGTTATTTTCTTAATTATATAATGTTTTTATTAAAAAATAAAAAGGGATCTTTCAATTTAAACCAAATTCTTAATGTTCTAACGTCCATAAAACGTACATTACAATTGTCACAAATGCATGAACAAACTTGGCATATATTCGACAAGACGACAACCCAAAACAAAATAAATATATTAAAAATATATTATATTATATTATTATCATAATTGTAATTCCACAAAATATATCAGAAAACTTAACAATTTGAATAATTTTATTCGATTGATCAGTACTTTAATTAAAGATGTAATTTTACAGAAAAAAACATAAAATATATTGAAAGAACTGGGAAAATTTTAAATAAACCGAAAAAGCGATCCGTCTGGTTTTTGTCTGTCCCTTATTTCAAAATTTGAAAACCAAACGTTCCCGATTTTCATCCATTTGTGTTCTCCACCGGAGCCTTTACGCCGCAATACCGCCGCCTCCGCCGCTTCACCTGCATCGGTGAATGTAAATAGCCGTCGTCTTATTGTAATAAGGTAACTCATCATCATCTTCATCTTTTTCGTCTCCTTCTTCTTCTTCTTCTTCTCGTATAAACCCTAATTTCGAAGGGTTCTATGCAGTCGCAGTGTTTCCAAATCCTCGAAAACCATCCAATTTACCTCCAATTTGATTGCAATTTCTGGGATTTTTCCCCATATTGTTTGATTCGATTTAGCTTTTGACTTTGATAAACCACAAGAATCGACTAAGTAATTAAGACTTTGTTTTCTTTGTGCATTTCGTTTTTTGATTACTCTTATAGCTTCGATTTAGCTGATTATATCGAATGGCTCGTTTTTTGTTGTTGTCTCAGGTTCCAATGTCTTTGTTAAGTAGGTTCTTTTACAAGAGACCACCAGATGGGTTACTTGAATTTGCTGATAGAGTTTATGGTAATCATCACCATTCCTTTTCTTAATCTTGAATTAGTGATTAACAATTTAGTTCAATAGACATCTAACAGTGTAATTTCGACAGTTTTTGATTCATGTTTTTGCACGGAGGTGTTGGCTGATAGCTTGTACCAAATCTTCTTGCATGAAGTTATCAATGATTTACACGAAGAATTCCCGGAATCGTCTTTTTTAGCGTTTAATTTCCGAGAAGGGGAGAAAAAAAGCGTGTTTGCTGAGACTCTTTGTGAGTATGATGTTACTGTTCTGGAGTATCCGAGGCAGTATGAAGGATGCCCTATGCTTCCTTTATCATTGATCCAACATTTTCTCCGTGTGTGTGAGAGTTGGCTTGCTCGTGGGAACCGTCAGGATGTTATTCTTCTTCATTGCGAAAGAGGAGGATGGCCACTTTTGGCTTTTATTCTAGCTAGTTTTCTGATTTTCAGGAAAGTTCATAGTGGTGAGCGTAGAACTCTTGAGATTGTGCATCGTGAGGCTCCTAAGGGTCTCTTGCAGCTGCTCTCGCCGTTAAATCCGTTTCCGTCTCAACTTCGTTATCTTCAGTATGTAGCGAGGAGGAACATTAATCCTGAGTGGCCACCTCCTGAAAGAGCTCTTTCTTTGGATTGTGTGATAATTCGAGGTATCCCAAACTTTGACTCCCAACATGGCTGCAGACCAATTATACGTATTTTTGGAAGAAACTATAGTAGTAAATCTGGTCTTTCCACGGAGATGGTGTATTCTATGTCTGATAAGAAAAAACCCCTTCGCCATTACCGACAGGTGGGTGTGTTCTTATTTTTATGATTTCTTCAACACCTTCTATAAAGTATCACTCTTCTCAGTAACGTAATTCTGTACAATATGGCTGCAGGCAGAATGTGACGTAATCAAAATTGACATCCAGTGCTGGGTTCAAGGAGATGTTGTACTGGAGTGTGTGCATATGGATTTAGATCCAGAACGAGAGGTTATGATGTTTCGTGTGATGTTCAATACTGCATTTATCAGGTCCAACATACTAATGTTGAACTCTGACAACTTGGATATTCTTTGGGAAGCCAAGGATCATTACCCAAAAGGGTTTCGAGCAGAGGTATGTACCTTTATATCCATTTCTTTTGATTTCTTATGAATTTTATTGTGTTGGATATGAGAAAATATGGGTGCAGAAAGGTTCAAAACACACAAAATGACTAACCTTACATGGGTGGATAAAGATAGTCCATACTCATGCTAAGATACACTTGTACTTGTTTCTGACTCCATGCTTTATGCATTCAGGTCTTGTTTGGAGAAGTTGAGAATGCATTGCCTCAGAAAGTTCCAACCCCAATAGTAAATGGTGATGAGACTGGTGGATTGCCCATTGAAGCCTTTTCTAGAGTTCAAGAACTTTTTAGCGGTGTGGATTTGGCTGAGAATGGAGATGATGCTGCTTTGTGGTTGCTAAAACAACTTGCTGCCATAAATGATGCGAAAGAGTTTTCAAGATTTCGGCACAAAGGGAGTTTTTATTTTAATTCTCCTGACTCTGAAGAGGAGACAAACACATCTAGTGCCGCTGATAGTTCAGATGAAGGCTTTGATGCCATTCAGAGACCTCATATTCGTATACCTTTTGATAATGATGAAACAGACGACATTACTTTGTCTGTCCCTCATGAATCTTCAGAGGAGCCTCATGAATTCTCTCGTCACCAACATCATGAAGTTCCAGCAAAAGACAGTGTCGACCCTTTGACTCTTCCATCAGATCCACCATCTTCTGTTGCTCATGTCACACTTCTGCCTCCACCGCCACCACCACCTCCTCCCCCTCCTTTTATGAGCACAGCCTCATTTTCACCCCCACCACCACCCCCACCGCCGCCACCTCTCCCTAGTTTCAGCAATAGAGATCCTTTGACAACATCGCATCAGCCTACCAACAAAACCCCTCCACCACCACCTCCTCCGCCACCTCCTTTTAGAAGCATCCCTCCGCCATTAGCTCAACCACCACCACCACGTCCTCCCCCTCCTCCTCCTCCTCCGCCACCTTCTTCTAGAAGCATTCCTCCACCCTCAGCACCACCGCCACCACCGCCACCTTCGTTTGGGAGCACACGAAATAAGCTTCAGGCGCAACCACCTCCGCCTCCACCTCCTCCTCCAATCCAAGCAACTCCTGCTGCTAAATGTGCACCACCACCACCACCACCCCCGCCTCCACCTACATCTCATTCTGGTTCTATTCGTGTTGGCCCACCTTCGGCACCACCACCACCACCTCCTCCTCCTAAAGCTAATATTTCAAATGCCCCCAAGCCTCCACCCCCTCCGCCACTTCCTCCTTCATCCACAAGGTTTGGTGCTCCCCCTCCACCTCCACCACCGCCACTATCCAAGACCCATGCTCCGCCTCCACCACCTCTATCCAAGACCCCTGTTCCTCCTCCTCCACCAGGGCTGGGTCGTGGTACAAGTAGTGGCCCACCACCAGTGGGAGCTAAAGGTTCAAATGCACCACCACCACCTCCTCCTGCAGGAAGGGGCAGAGCTTCCTCGGGACTTGGAAGAGGCCGAGGCGTGAGTGTTCCTACTGCTGCACCTAAGAAAGCCGTGTTAAAACCTTTGCATTGGTCTAAAGTTACTCGGGCAGCAAAAGGTAGTTTGTGGGCTGATAGTCAGAAGCAGGAAAATCAACCACGGTGGGTTTCTCTTTGTGTTTTTCCTTCTTTTAGATGTTTTAGCTTGACATTCATGGTTTTCGAATAATTCATTGATAATAATTATAAAACAAAAGTGAACTGTCTTTACAGTTCTGTCTTGCGATTTTGCTTGTTTTCCATAAGGTGCTATTTTTGTTGAACTAATCCGATGAATTTTACGAATCTTCATGACAGGGCCCCTGAAATAGATATATCAGAGCTCGAGAGTCTTTTTTCTGCAGTTTCAGATACCACAGCTAAGAAAAGCACAGGTCGCAGGGGTTCTAGCATCAGCAAACCTGAGAAAGTTCAACTGGTGAGGCAGCTCAATTTCACCTCTGTACACATATAACATTTCTATATGTAAATGACAGTTTTGTAAACTAAATATTACCAAGAGTGTATCTAGGTATCACCTACAGCTATATAGTGTACATTAACCAGCTGATTAACTTTGGTTGCTAGAAAAAGTTGACAATTGATATGATAGACATTGCAATTATCATTTATGGGTATTCTGTAACTAATATAAATGATTACGATCTTGCCTCTGAGTTTGCTTATCTTTCAGTTGTAACCTTTTTTCTGTGTTTGTATCAGGTTGACCTGCGAAGAGCAAATAACTGTGAAATTATGCTTACGAAAATAAAGATTCCTCTACCAGATATGCTTGTAAGTTTTTGCTTTAGTATCTTTTCAGCTCATTATTTTGGCATTGTAACAATACTGTAAAGTGGTTGTTTAGAGAGAATAAACATACAAGTTTTGTTTTTTGGTGTTTACATATCTTTATCTAACATTTTGCGTAGTTAAATCTCTTTTCAATGAATGTTTACAGATTTCTACTAATTGAGACTTTCAAATCTATTTCTTATCTTAGAGTGCAGTTCTAGCCTTGGATTCGTCAGCTCTGGATATCGACCAGGTTGAAAATCTCATAAAATTTTGTCCGACCAAGGAAGAAATGGAAATGTTGAGGGTAATTTCAAAATTTATTGTCATATTTCTCTCTAGCTTCAGGTTCAAAGGTTCTTTCTTGCTTGGAAAGCCTACTTTATTTCCCTTCTGAAAGGTTTCGTTAATGTTATTTTCATAAACCAGTAAGCTTGATCAAAATTTTGAACCAAAGAATCTATTCCTTTCAACACTTCCTTATTTCCTGATCCTAAATCATGCTGTTCGTGTTTTCAGAATTATACTGGTGACAAGGAAATGCTTGGAAAGTGCGAACAGGTTTGTCCAGTTCTTATAGCGATGGATGATACTTTTATATCATCTGTGCTCTGAATCTTACCCTTACAAATGTACCAGTTTTTCATGGAACTAATGAAGGTTCCACGTATAGAAGCAAAGTTACGAGTGTTTGGCTTTAAGATTACCTTTGCTTCTCAGGTAGAAAAGTTAAACTCTCTGATTTTGATCGCTCCTGTCTTCAGACATGTTGTAATCGATGTTGTTTTTTTTGGCTCTTTTCAGGTGGAAGAGTTAAAAAGCTGCTTAAATACAATAAACGCTGCTACTAAAGAGGTATAGTGGAGGGTGAGATTTTCTAAGTCATGGCAATATTTCTCCATCTTGGTAATTAAGTTTAATTATCATGTACCAGGTGAAGGAGTCTGCAAAGTTGCGTCAAATTATGCAAACAATTTTAACATTGGGAAATGCTCTAAATCAGGGAACTGCGAGAGGTATCATGTTTTCCTATTGATTTTCAGTTTCATGATTTTTCTGGAGGTATCTGTTGGTGATGTAGTGCCTTTGTGTTGCAGGTTCTGCTGTGGGGTTCAAACTGGACAGTCTTCTTAAATTATCTGATACTCGTGCTAGAAATAACAAAATGACTTTGATGCATTACTTATGCAAGGTAGAAATAGCCTCGCTCAATTTTCTAATCACTATTTCAAGAGCGCATCTTTGTGCTAGAAGTGCATCATACTGTTTATGCAGTTAGTTTCTTAAGGTGCTGTCTGAAGATGAACTTAATACCTTATTTCCTTTCTACTGTTTAGCTTGTTGGTGAAAAAATGCCAGAATTGTTGGATTTTGCTAATGACCTTGTTCACTTAGAAGCTGCTTCGAAGGTATGCTTGTTATTCATGGTTGCTTCCATCTTCTTCTTTATTGCAGCTGCCTTATTTGTTTCTGAAAATTGCAGATTGAATTGAAAACGTTGGCTGAAGAAATGCAAGCGGCGACTAAAGGCCTTGAGAAGGTTGAGCAAGAACTAATGGCTTCAGAAAACGATGGTGCAATTTCTTTGGGCTTCAGGAAGGTGAGCTACACGTGAAAATGTGTTCTTAGTTTGCTCATACGGGTATCGGGAATGTGCATCTTGATTAATTCATTGGCAAATGATAAGAACTACAAAATCTTCGTAGCTGCTTCAAGTGAGATTGCTTTATGTTTTCAGGTCTTGAAAGAGTTTCTTGATATAGCTGATGAGGAAGTGAAGACGCTTGCTTCGTTATATTCAGAAGTGGTGAGTTATATATAACAGCTCATCGGTTACTTACACACTGTTGGGAGAAGCAATTCGAATTCATGTTCCAATCCTAATATTAACTGTAATTCACAGGGAAGAAATGCAGATTCTTTGTCTCACTACTTCGGTGAGGATCCAGCTCGATGTCCTTTCGAGCAAGGTACATGCACAAATCTCTTCTTCTAAATTGTCTAAAGCCATTCTGGGACAAATGAAACCATTCATTGATATTCTGACCAATGTTTCTATCTGCAGTGACCAAGATTCTGACTCTTTTCATGAAAACATTCATCAAATCTCGAGAGGAGAATGAAAAACAAGCCGAGGCTGAGAAGAAGAAACTGGAAAAAGAAGCAATAAAGGAGAAGTCAGCGACAAAGAAAGATGGCGCTGATAACGACAACGATCTTATCCAGCAGATCCATAGACATAGAACATGATCAAACATCGGCCTTTAACCAAGACCCGAGGTTTTCAGATCGATAAAAGCTTTGTTTTATAGGACTCAATGTTGCACATACGGAACAAGAGCAGAGATCTTTCCTAGATCTTAGACAAAGTAGTGTTTAGATGGAAGTGTTTTATTATCTCTGATCTCTTCATTGATGTAAAAATCAGAGGTTCGTGTTTATGTCCCAGTCCTAGAAATATTTGAACTTTTATAGAATCCAAAAGTTATATCATCTTCACTGTGCAGACAAAAACATTTTTTTTCCAAAGAATAATAAATCTTCACATTTTTTACTTGTCTGCATAACTAGTGCAGAGAAATAATCAGAAGCATTGGTCAAGTTCCAACAAATTCTACAATTGTTGTTCTAACACAAGATGTTTGCTTCTTCATTTGAGCTTGTTTGTTTTCAGTTTTGCAAAGATGAAGACTTAAGACAGAGCAGATGAAACTTCATCCCGGGAAGCTTCAATTGGAAGTATCGGTACGGGTGGTATGTCGAGAGGTTTTGTCCTCTTTGTTACTGTCAATCTCAATCCTTCTGTGGTATGTATTGTAGCTCCTGTAGTCATTTTTACCTGTCCATCCAGAAAACGAATGTCGAGAAATGAATTAACCATTATTGATCTTTCAGTTTGCGTTTCTAGTTTTATCTTAGTTCAGTTTTGAAATATTTGTGTCGTATTGAGACTAAACATGAGAAGTTTTTTTGTTGAATATACCGGAGGAGCTCCTGGTGCAGTCTGAAAGTCAAATCTTCGAATAAGCATTGCGATTGCCACCACATTCTACAAACAGAAATTTCTGTCACCACAAGAACATCTAAAGCATGTACTCATATGTAACAAGTATTGATGTCAATTAACTCTTTACCTCAAAGGAAGCAAACATGTCGCCTATACATTTCCGCGGTCCTCCACCGAAAGGTAAGTAACTGGAGAAGAAAAGTTCCCGATATAATCAAATCATAATGACATGAGAAGTGACAAGCAACAGGCTTTCTTACCTGAAGTTTTGGTTTGTCTCATTTGGGTTTGGTCCATCCAAAGGCCATCTCTCGGGATTGAACTTTTCCGCGTCATCCCAATGAAGAGGACTTCGATGTAGATTCCAAACCGAGATGAAGATATCCTCTCCCCTGTTAAGTTTTTCAAACACAATCTCTTATCAGAACTCAGAAGTTACAAACGGAAACCACAATGATGGAATTTCTTGACCTTTTTATGGGATACTGTCCAAGCATATCGTTGTCTATAGAACGACGGATCAGTACTGGTGGCTGTGGATATAGTCTCAATGACTGCACAACATCAAAGTAAAAAGGTAAATCCAATGAGCTTTTTCCTCAACCAGTAAATTCAATTGCCTTTTACCTCATTCATGACTCGGGTGGTGTATTTCAACTTTTTCATATCTTCTATGGTTGGGAATCTATCTCCAATAACAGAATCAACCTAAATAGAATCAAACTGTTCTTTTAACATGTGAATGTTCTCGTAAGATCATTTGCAAGAATGATGTATCATACCTCTTCTTGGAGTTTGGCAACTACACTGGGTTCCTGCAATACCAACAAAAGTTATAAATGTTCTTTGGGAGCAAATTAACTGTTTGTTTAGGTTGATATGTCCACTCTCTACCGTTGTTAAAAGGTAAAAGGTCCATGTTAATACTGCCGCCGATGTTTCATGTCCGGCTATAAGCATTGTCATCAAGTCATCGCGGAGCTGCTTGCTAGAGACCTGAAACAAATTGAGAAGAAAGACATCATTTAAGATCCGTTGAAGCTGATACCTATTAAACTATTGGTTTCCAAAAAAACAGACTATTACATCATCTCCTGAAGCCAAAAGAAAGTGAAGGATGCTAGGATCTCGTTCGTTCATATACTCCTCGTGAAACTGCAACTCCTCTTCTTCTACCATTCTCTAAAAAGACAAGAAAATGAAATCAGGATCCAAAGAGCATGAACAATTCTTGGACTTAACTCCAAAGTTATACCTTGCATGTTGCAATTAAATCATCAAGTGTGTCATTGATCAATTTCAGGGAAGTAGCAACTTTCCTCTGACGCGGGGAAATATCTTTCCAAATCGGTATGTCCCAAACAGGTATAGGTGAAACACTTCTGTCTTCAGCTTCTCTTAGAACAGTGTAAACTGCCTAACAAAGCACAAGAAGCTTTCAATTTTCGCTGATCAACACATGGAAAATGCTAACAAAACTGAAGGCAGAGAGGGTAAGTCATGAGAGAACCTCGATCACACCGGTATCATTAGTTAGGGAGTCAAAGTCGTAATTGAAAACCGCCTTGCCAATAATATCAAGAGTCAAACGAGAGAAGAGTGATTCCATCTCTACTTCTTCCCCTTTCAATGCAGCAGCATCAAGCTTCTGACAAAGCCTATCTGAAGCTTCTCCAAATAAGCTAATCATAGCTGCTACATACTATAAAACAGAAAAAATGTAAACAATAACTATATTTTCTAACTTCAAAAGAATCATGCTTTTTATCCTTTTTTCACAAATTGGTTACCTTTTGATGCAACGCAGGAACAATGGCACGCCTTCGTCTACGCCATATCTCCCCATCAGCTGGTATGAGTCCTTTTCCCATCACAAAATCTAGAATTTCAGCTAAAATCCCCTAAGATTTACAAGTAGATAATGTATAAGGAAAAGCACAAAACGAGACCATTCATAAGTAAATTGTTCATGCTGCAACTGGTTATACCTTGGAGTAAGCTTTTGCATTGTCCTTCAATATATGCTTAGCAATAGAAGGATCCGACACGATCAAGAACGACTACAAAATGATTGGATTCTTTAACCAATACGTTTTCCCTTAGTTAAGAAATCAGAAGATAGACAGAAAAACAAACCTTAGGCCCAAAGGTCAACCTGAAAATGCCACCATAAGTAAGGAAAAGCTCATACAAAGGGATGAAGAAAGCTTCGTTCCGAACCGCCTGAATCGAGCCTTTAGCCTCAGGAACCTTGAGGTAGTCTTCGTCAGAACCAGTCCAATCAAACATGAAATCAAGAACATTGCTTGGAATTCCAACCTTAGATAAACCATTCTTCACTGTAGATGGAAAACTTACACAAACCAAAACAAAAACACAAGAACCAAGAACCACAAGTCAAAATCAACACAGAGAATCTATGCTACATTAGGACAATCATCATCATCATCATCATCTTTTTATACAGAATCAATGCTACATATGGAAATTCACCTAGATTTCCGTACAGTGAAAGCTCCAGAAGCAATCCGAGCAGATAACTCAGCACGACGCTTCTCCTCCTGAACCTTCTCCAAGCTTTTCACGCCATTAGGAACTGAATTATCCTCAGAAGGATCTCTTCCATTAGAACTCGATGCGAAAACTACAAAGTTCGATCTCCGAGAGTACGTTACTGGTTTAACAGAAATCGGAGTATAAGAAAGAGGAAACGCCATAGCCGCCATAAGAAGCCACAGCAAAATACTCAAATCACAGAGCTAAAAACAGAGAAAACCATTAAAGACAAATTTCGAAATTGCAGTGTGAAGTGGAGAAGAAGAAGAAGAAGAGAAGATGTGACGTGTGCATTTTACTAACGTATACGCATTATCTCTTTAAGAGGTGTCACTATTAATTACCTTTGTTTAGTACTTATAGTACAAAATCTAAAGGATTTTATTTTGATTAATTTCCTTAAACACATTTATAAAGCAAATGGCGTTAACTAGTGGATTTATTTATCAGTGACAATGGGCCCACAAACCAAACCGGACCTAACATTATTTTGGACAGAAGAACCGAACCGGCTTGGCTTTTGTAGCTTTGTTCATCTTCCTCTTCTACAAAATATAAAATTTCTTCGTTTTGAATTTTCTTCTCTTTATGCTCTGCGAAAGAAAAATTTCCGATGAAAACTCTAGAATTAGCTTTACCTCCATCTCCACCATCCTTAGTTCCTTCTTTCAACTACAACTCTGCCGCACGAAGCGTCGGAAATGACGTCAGAACCAACTTCGATGTTCAACTTTTTCTAAGGAAACCCAAACACCAAAAATCAGAACCCGTCGTCGTTACTCAACAATCTCAGATTCAACCGCAAATACCAAGTTCTCGTTGTTCTACTTCTGATATTCTCAGAATAATGGATTCTCTTTCTTTACCTGGAAACGAAGATCTTTACTCGTGTCTTGCCAAAGAATCAGCCAGAGAAAACGATCGACGTGGAGCTTACGAGTTACAAGTGCATATTATGAAGTCCAATATAAGAAGACCCACGACCACTTTTGTCAATCGTCTTCTCTTGATGCATGTATCGTGTGGACGTTTAGATATTACACGCCACATGTTCGATAAAATGCCTCACAGAGATTTTCATTCTTGGGCAATTGTTTTCCTCGGTTGTATTGACATGGGTGATTACGAAGACGCTGCTTTGCTCTTTGTTTCGATGTTGAAACATTCTCAGAATGATGCTTTCAAGATTCCGTCTTGGATCATGGGCTGCGTTTTGAAAGCTTGTGCCATGATTAGAGACTTTGAGTTAGGGAAACAGGTTCATGCCTTGTGTCATAAGCTAGGGTGTATAGACGAAGAAGATTCATATCTCTCGGGTTCTTTGATACGTTTCTACGGAGAATTCAGGTGTTCGGAAGAAGCTAATCTCGTGCTAAACCAGCTTTCCAATGCCAGCAGTGTTGCTTGGGTAGCGAAGCTTACTAATGATTACAGAGAAGGGGAGTTTCAAGAAGTAATCCGCGATTTCATCGAAATGGGTAGCCACAGAATCAAGAAGAACGTCTCAGTGTTCTCTAATGTTCTAAAAGCATGTACATGGGTCAGTGACGGTGGGAGAAGCGGGAAACAAGTGCATGCGGATGCTATAAAGCTCGGATTTGAGTCAGATTGTTTGATCCGATGTCGGTTAATTGAGATGTATGGGAAGTATGGGAAGGTGAAAGACGCGGAAAAGGTGTTCAAGAGTAGCAAGGACGAGACAAATGTTAATTGCTGGAACGCTATGGTCGCGGGTTATATGCAGAATGGGATATACGTTGAAGCCATTAAGCTTCTCTATCAGATGAAAGCAACTGGAATCAAAGCGCAGGACACGCTTTTGAACGAAGCCCACTTTCAGTTATAACAAGTTAACATATAGATCAAGGAAATGATGAACCTGATATGTAAATATCTATATATATATATATATATATATATATAAGAAGAGTATTTAGATGAAAAGATAAATTGATTGTTTGGTTTCGTTTACAAGTAATGATTTCGTAAGATAATTGAGAATAAGAAGCGTACATTCATATACCAAGAATGGTTCGGATTTGATCTGGTGGATGTCGGGCGAGAGATTTCGGATCTGGATATCCATTTTGTTGATCCGTTACAGCTTGGTATATAACTTCGTAAGCTTCAGCTAAAGTTTTAGCGACCCTGACACAAGCTTCAGACCTGAGTTTAGGGACTTGTATCTGCTCAAACTCAGGAAGAGAGCCTTCACTTCCCAAAACGAGGCCGAAGAATGCCTTGAGGCATTCAGATAGCATTGCGGGTGAAGTGTCTTGTCGTTCAGACAGGGGAGGTTCGGATGTAGAAGAGCGGAAGATTTGCATTTTGTCTGAAAGACCGCATTTTTGGAGTAGTGTGTCAACTTCATTCTGGACAAGGAGGTTTATATGGTTCTCGATCATTGATCCGATGTTGGTTACATATTGGGATGCAACGTCGTGTCTTAGCAACGGTTGTTGGATTGCGCATAGACAGTTGATGAGGAATATCTTCGAGGGTGTTTCGTTGTTCTGCAAAAAGAACATAAGAAGAAATGAAACTCAGATACATCTTTTCGGGCTAAGAACATTGACGTATAATCCATAACAATGTTGTATAGGCAAATGATACCTGCGGTGGGGACGGGCTACTAGAGAGTAGAGCATCGACTGAGGTTAGCTGGCTTGAGTCGGAACTTGTTCTACTTCTTCTGGGTAACTGGCCGCTCTTCTTCGATTTATGCGCCTCTGCTGCTTGCTCGCACATCTGCGGATTTGAGAAAGTTGAGAAATCTGCTTCAAAGCACAATTATGGCTTTTAATGAACATGATTTTTCATAAGTTTGAACTTTCATGTACCTTGATAATTGGGTCAAGCAGTGCAGAGAGGACAGGATCAAAAGCCGGTTTCTCTCCTGAAGCAGAAACCATCATACTGTTGTAATTCTCGATTATCTCAAGGGTTAGAGAAACTCCTTCTCGGACAGCTGGAGGAGGAGATAGATCGACGGCTACAGGTGGAGGGTATCGTAGAAGTTTTTCCCCTCGGGTTTTAAGAATGTCAAAGAAAGTTTTCTGTGCAGCATCCTTTACCATCCCAATTGTATTACACAGTGCAGTGTCTCGGCCGAGTAAATCTGAGATCTGCAAGGTGAAAAAGAAACCAATGTTTAAACCACCAGATCGATAAATGTCATATAATATGTAGAGCGACGAATACAAAAGAAGGCAATATAAAACTCACAGTGTAGCTGTAGAACTCCAAAGTGTTGGTGAGCTTATAAGATATAATAAGACTTGGTTGTGACTGCAGAACTTGTTCTACTCTCACTTTAAATGGCCGGCAAACTCCTTCAAAAATTCTATCCAGAACAAATGTGAAATCAGATTCTGCTGCCTTTCGGGCAATATTCTCAGAGGTATTCTTTGCGTTTGATTTATGGTCAGCTGCGTCTATATCAAATAAAGCATGAACCAATTCTCTTTCTGATGCCAAAGCCTGCAGCCAAAACAACATTTTACATTAGTAAAGAAATAACGATAACAGGATATTTAGTCAATTCACACACATGATTATCTATTGTTGTGTGTAGCAAACAAACCACTATTCTGACATCAGTCGCATGAGGATAAAATGAGGGTACCATAGGAGAAGAAAATGTGGTCACAAACCTGATGTAGCCACCCAAGCATGTCTCCCACATATCGTAAGGGGTCATGGGCATGAACTTCTATGGGTCTAGGCATTCCTCCAGGTCCTCCACGTGTAAGAGCACTAATAAACCTTCTAAATAACGCATTGTGCCTCAGATTCCCTACCTATATGATTTGACATAGTTCATAAGGAGCTCAACAAACATGCCCCATATAGCCGTATCGTAACAGTTTCACAGAGACTTAGACTTCAGTGAAGCCAAAAGACTAACCTCCTCTGCACAATATTTGAAGAGCACGGGTCTTTCTTTGAGACAGCGAACAGCAGTCCTCAAAAGCTCACTCACCTCTGGGTTATCCGTATCACCCAGTTTCCTACACTCAGCCTGAACCCACCTAGAAAAATCAAGGTTCTTTGGTTACATTTGATACCTCAAACTATGGAATTCTAGGCTCACAGCAAAAACAAAATCTTAATAATGAACATTCTTCTTTAACAGCCAGTACTGAGTTTTTTTGTTGGCCCTATACGGATTTAGAAAAGGTGACCCTTTTTAAAAACAAATTATCGTCCTACATACCATGAAAAACTATCAATGAGGAAGTCATGCTAAATCCAAACTCTTAAGTTTCTACCATCAAGTCTAGAAAAACAGATAATGTACCTGCAAAGGCGCTCATATGCTCCTTCTTGATACACAGCCATCATATCCATCAGTTCCAAACCCGCACGCTGCATACAAGTCCCATACATTCAATACTAACCACGACGATCCACTTTGCATGAAAACTAAACACAATTTGCGAAAATCTCACCTGATGATGCGTCCTAAGAAGTAATTTGCAATTGGAATGAATTTCCTGAACATGAGACAACGCTTGGAAGAAATTCTCATTCAATTCATCTTCCCTAAGCGCTTTAATCTGCCAAAATCACATTAAACAATCAACAATCATTTCATATTCCAGAGATCTAATCACCATTAAGGTAATGATTACAAGACCTCACTTACCTCTTCATTCGAAAGCTGATAATCACGAAGAAAACAGTTAACGATCTCTTGCCTCTGAGTAGTAACCTCAAGCTCTTGCTTTAACCTCTCAGTAGTACTAATAATATCGCCAGTGGTAGCCGCAGAGCTGCTTAGCGCCGCCGCAATCTTATCGCAACAATCAGCTAAAGCATTCACTTCCTCCTCCACACGATCCAATGCGATCTGTGTCGAATCAGCCGCGTTAAGGAACTCACTGTTGATCTGAAGCGCTCGCTTCTCGATCGTCGATCTGAGATTCCGCCGTGCGTGAGCACTGTTCTCATCGTAGAATGAGGATAAAGCGTTAAGCGACGCCACCAGATCCGGACTATCTGTACGACATTCCAATACCTTCTTCAATTTCCGAGAAAGTCCCGGTGCTAATCCCACCGTCGACGCCATTGTTACTCTGTTTCGTTTGGGTTTCTTCTACAAACGATCTCCGAGCATTGCCTTCTTCTTCTCCGATCTCTATGATCTTCCTCTTGCAGAACGGTCTGATCTGAAATGATTCTATGGGTCGAAAACCCAGTAAGTTGGGCCCAAATATGGGCCTCTTATAATGGCCCAACATCAGATAAAGGATGAGGCCGATGTCTATAGCAAATTTACGTTTGTTAATCCTGAAATGTTGTGGCACCAAACCTTATTTAGGATTTACTAGAAAACTTCTTTGGTTGTTAAAAATAATTTCATCATCATTGGTTATATAAGGTGTTTTCAATTTACTTATACAAATTTTGTTTTTGTCAAATCTCGATATTGCGATTCCGAAGCAAAAATGGCGATGATGTGACCTTACAATGATCTTTATTCCAAAGTTATGCCAAATCGTGGTTCCGCTACTCCAACACAAACATTGTAACTTTGGAAAATATTGATCCAATTGTTTCAATGCAAACTTACAATTATTGAACTCTACGTAAGATCATGTATTAGTGATTTCTAACGTTAAATTACAATTTGTTTGCCAATTTGACGCAAAATATAAATTTGTAGTCGGATGAAAATTTTCAAAATGTTTATTTGTGACATATGATTCACAAAAAAACCATTAGTGACAACGTAAAGTCGGGTTTCTAAAAAAAAAAAAAAAAAAAAAAAAAAGGTCGGGTTTCTACTATTTTCAAGCAAAATCATGATTCTAGAACCAATCATGTTATAACTTAGTTGAATTCTATCGGTCCATTTGTTATTATTAGTAGATAAAGCTCATTTGCACCCAAAAAGAGTTTCATAACTTTGTTAACCAAAAGAAGGGAACCTATATTGATTTTAATTAAAACTTAAAAACACTATACTACAGCTTGAGTACTTAAAGATTAACCATCTTTATAACCTATAAATAAGCATTACGTTTGAACAAATCATATGCTTTTTAATTAGTTTTGTTAATAATGGGCGGTGCAAAGTTAATTAAGGATTGTGTAAGAGTGCAAAGAATAATTAAACGAAAAGAGGCAAAAGGGAAAAAAAAACAATGGTGGACGAGTTGTGCTAGCTACATCACAAGATGATGATTAAGACAAATAATGATTAGGGCTATAAATATTCCCAAGTGGGTTTACGGGACCGACCAGGATGGTCTAATATCCTCGGAAAAAACACACGCCTATGTCTCTAGTTATATGACTAATTAGGCATTTAAATATCAAAAAGAATTATGCCAGACAAATCAAAAATGATTTCAGAGAGTATATATATTCATGACATCAATGTCGCATTCATGCTCACGAGTCACGACAAGGATCGATCACTGTAAATATATACAGCATTTACTAAAAAGGATTGGTTAAACATGTGTAATCTAAAAAAAGAAAAAAAACATGTGTAATCTGGTTTGAAACTATATGACTAAAGGTTTTGCATACTAATGACTTGTTATTAATACCATCATATTTTTATTTTTTGAAAAAGTTTAATACTATCATATTCATATCTAATATCTTTATTTTGGGTTTAACTTTGTATATCTAGTTGGAATTTAAATATACAATAGAATCCACAAAAAGAAACAACTAACTCATGATAATTTAGTGGTTAAAAAAATGAAGTTTGGAAAAACAAAATTCAAAATTTTCTAATGCACATTCAACCATAAAAGTTCAATATCCTACGGGAAGCTTGAGATCTTCTTAATTGTAACCATAAGATGAAAAAGAAAATCATATATGTATAAATTGAAGTGATAAAGTTTAACTAAAAATCCTAGTCGAAAACCGAAAATAATTTTTTCATATATATTAATTATTAATATGTGTGTGTGTGCATCGCACTACAATGATATGATATGTTAAGATGGTCAACCTCACAATGATATCAAAAATTGCATCAATACTTTCCTCCACTCACAAAAATAATTGTTTGGGTAACTAAGTAATCATTGAACACGTATTTTTATAGTAATGACTTTTTACTATAGTAGATAGTATTACCCGCCGTTTTTTAATTCGTGGGATTATATTCGATTCTAATGTGCACCATGAGTATTTGAATATTATGTGACCGAAGGTTGTTTTTGTTTTAATTAGGGTTATCTAGAATCGGATGTATTAATTAGATATACTTTTTTCATTAAAAAAATATTAGGTCTAATTAACATAAGTGGATTCTAAGAAATGCGATGTATGTGATATAAAAATTAACAATTCGGCTGGCTATATATATTTTTGAAAGGCTAAATCTATTAATTAAGAAAAACCCAACAAAAGAAATAATTAAATAATAAGATACCTTGACACAAAGAGTGGAAATTTAATAATTAACTAGATTACAATCGAATAAAATCAGCAAATGAACAAAAGGTCGACTAGTGATTTGACCATAAACATGAATGTAATCGTCTTTATTCGCGAGTATATTTAGAAAAAATTTAGAGTATAAAGATGTTTAACACAAGAAAATTCTATGATAATTTTTTATTTTACAAAAGAAAAAGTATATATAAATTTAATAAATAAGAAAATAATTGATCACATAGCCGCACTAATGAAAAAAAAATACTGAAAACATGAAAACTCAAAATCTTGATCGAAAACCTTACAATATTTTTCTGATTAACGCAGAAGTGTTTACACTCTATAATATTCTTTGAGTCCAGGTTTTGGTGGACGTACAAATCATATTATGCGTGTCTGAATAGAGTGTAGCATCCTTAATGAGTTTTTCTGTTTAACAAATAAACATAGCAAATCTTTGAAAAAATAATCAAGTAGTAGTGATCTAGTGGTCTAGGTCAGAGATTAATTCCTCTCAAAAGTAAAATTTACTGAAATCATTTTATTTGATCAGTCGAAATGGTACTATATATTTTAGCTAGGTTCATTAGAACATCCGGTGAAAAAAAGTTACTTGACGACTACATTTTCCCTAAGATAATTAGTCGGATGGTAAAAGTATGGATCACTCCTGATTATTAAAAAAAAAAAAATATATCCTTGAAAAGTACATATAAAATTTTCGTGTGACATAATGGTAAAGGAACAATTAATTAATCACGTGCGAGTGATTAATCCAACTATGGGTTGCTAGGAAAAAAAGACAAACAAAGACACATTTGATCGGTCTCTCACGCTTTGTCCGGTAGATTAATTTCATATACGTTTCCCACAAAGGAAAAAAAAAGCTGCTTTACATTGACACGATGAATACGAATCTGATATAGTTGGTTTATATGATGTAGTTGTTGATTTCTTTGGATATTAATTGAAAAATTAGTTGATTAGGTTTAATAGAATATGAGAGTGCTGAGGAATAGAATTTTAGGTATAGAATTTTTTAAAAGTCATCACGTCCAATGTATAATGAGACTATATATTTACACTAGATTTTATAGTCTAAAGAATTATTAGAATTTTTTTTGCAGTCACTAATTTCACATAGTATATAGTATTAATAATTATGCGAGATACTATACATTTTATTTAGTTATATTTGTGAAAGTTTATGCAAGTTATAATTTATGATATTAATGAGGCTATATATTTACATTAGATTTTATAAAGACATATTACAAAGTTTGATCATTTTAAACTGATTCATATTGAAATCAAATATATATTATATTTCCTATTGTTTGTAAAAAAAATTCAGTTTAATTTAATGTTTTTTACCGTAATTAAATTTAAACTCGCTCTTTCAGTAATTAAATTAAAATTTGTCTACTTACGAAATCAATCCTAAACTTTATTTTAGACAAAATGGTTTTAGTCTAAGCATTCTTTTCTCTGTTAGGATTGGTGGGTTTGATCATTGTTCAATTATGGTAATTAACTCCCTTAAATAAATAACTTTTGATAATAAAAAAATAATTGATTTTTTTTGTTATCTCTGCATAAATTATAATAAATTTAGATTTCATTTATGGGGTCAATGATCAAAAGTAAATGAAAATACAGAAACTTGGAATATTTTGAAATTATCTCGTCGCTTCAAAGTCATAAGGCTATAAAGTATGAGCAAGATAGGTGTGACACATGATAATAAACATAATAGCAATGCGCGCTTAATTTCTTTTTTTCTTTTTTGTCAACAATGCGTGCTTAATTTCTATTCATATCATATTTGAATTAATGTAAATAATATGATTTGCTATACACTATACTCTATATATAGATGTCTAGATGCATAGGCATCTATATTAAGTATTAACACTAAAACATACGTACGGTCGCTAAAAAAAACACTTAATTAACAATGATCGTATCCACTACGATTATATTCACGTTAAAATCCATCGCTAATTCTACTAATAGTTACAGTTTAGAAAAATATCAATTAACACATGTAATGATTCATCACTTGGTTCAATTTATCATGTAAAAATAGAACTTTTGAGATGAGAGGGTTTTCACGAGTTTTGTAATCGATGTGGTTAGTCTACACCTGGCTGAGAATAAGATCTCAAAAGTTCAATGAGATTATGTCTACATATAATCAATAAAAGATCATATTAATTATAAGTTACACTTAGTAAGTACACAATGTGATTATGTCTACATCTAAATAATCAGTAAAGATCATCAATAAATTACACTTAGTAAGTTACACAATGAGATTCATACAAAAGCATTAAACTTTGAATAACACTCACTAAGAACTATGCGCCTCTACAATGTTCTTCATGTGTTTGTCTCTTTAAGCTTTCATCCATGTGTTCTCTCATCAACTTTCTGAGATCTCTCAAATGTATACTCATTCTAGAAGGACGTAACTAGCTCGTTTTTCCGAGACTCTCTTATCTTTAAGACCAAGCTCTATTGTGAGAAACATGTTCTATCATCTGCGGCTCTCTCTCTTTTGCCATGCCGCACTCACACAACCATCACACGACCTTGCATGCAATTTCGCTATGGCCAACTTGTTTTCCGCATTTTTTCCCCTGCCATCTTAGCTGTTTTTCTTTTACTGCTTCTTGTCGGTTCTAGTGGCCCTAAAAGCAAGATATAATGTTGCCAAATTTTTGATGGGAGACTTCTCAAATTTAATTTTAGCGACATAATGGTGACATGTAAGGGAAGGATTAAAAAAAAAGATTGAATGAAGAACTTATATTTTATTGTTACTTTTTTGTTTATTAATTTTAATTTTTCAACATGTTTGTAATTATGAAATTAATTATTTCTTTTGATTTTTTTTAATCTAAAATTTGAGTCCATGGCAATTTATCTAAAAAATCACAAATTTATTACATTAATTTTTCTTTTTACTTTTTACCTAGCGATGTATTAGCAACGAAATAGTAACACCTTTCTTTTAATATACAAACTAATGTTTCTATTTTTTCTATATATAGTGAAAATGTTTCGTCAAAATTTTACTGACAATTTACACACAAAAAAAAATCAAAGATTGATCGCCAAAATAATATGTACATAATGCCTATAAATAGTCTGCGTAATGTTTATATAGTTTCAATGAAAATGATATGTATAGGTTGATATAAATATATATATATATATATATATATATATATATATTTATGTATACATATGATTCCTTTACTCCATCTCCGGTCTATTTTTATAAATAACATCAAGTACAATTATTTAATTTAGACTGATTTACTCGGCTCTTTATATATAAGAAAATTAATATAATTATTTAATTTAAATTATTGGTTAGGGGTTGAGGGGATGAGGGGCCAGAAAATCAAATGAGAAGAGACAAACATTACTTTGAAAGATCTTCTTTTATCACTTTCTTCCCATCTTGTCTTTCGTATACATACATATACACACATCATGTCATGTTATTTTGGCGCATGTACTTTCTATTCTAGCCAAATTTGTTTGGTAAAATTCTGAGACATGCAACTATTTGAATCATTGGAATGATATACTATTTTCACGTGTTCATGTTTTGAAAACGTATTTCTACGTTTTTTTTAATCGGCAATAACTACATTTTCTATATATATACTATAGTTAATACCAATTTTTTTTGTAAGATGAAAGTTCTTCTACCTCTTTCTTGTTGACTTAATTTTTGCTTTAGAAATTAGAGTTAGTTATTCATCTCAATTAAGCTGTCTCAGTGCCTCTCATACAAGGTTACATGGACTATTATTTTTTGTTTTAATACATAGAAAAAAAAATTGCATTTTCATTAATCTCAAAGTCAATATATGCATAATCGCATGTTGAGTTGTTGACCTAACAAACTCTCAACAAAAGAAAAAATCAACAATAAGAAAAGAGTAATATAGTATAAGATTATCATAAGACTCTCTAATAGCATAGTTAATTCTATAGCCTCTTTCACAAGTTAAGGTAAATTTTTAATAGTCATGTAAAAATTCTTAATATTCATCATCATGATACAATTATTTACGATAGGAAAAACCAATAGACAAAAAGATGATGTGAAATGAAGAAGATAATATAAATAAAGTGAGTTATAAAAAGATAAAAGAGACGATGATTGGTGAGAGTGTCACAAAATTTCTGATCTCATTTTGAGTGCTCTCTTAGCTAACATCGAAGATTGCATCCCACCCTTACTCCCACTTTCCACGCGTGTGTGTTTTTGTTTTCTCTTTCTATCTCATTTCACATCCTCTCTCTATATAGAAAACTAATACTATAAAACTCCCAATTTATTTATTTATTAAAATAAAATCTCCTAACTTATATCACAAATTCATAATGCTTCGATTACAATGAACTGAACAAAAAATTATACTAAAATCATCAAGTGACATTATATAATGGATGCAGTATATTGAGCACATTCATATGTACTATGGGTTTGGCTCGAGAATTTTTGAGTTTTCCGAAATAAATTTGCGGGTTTGGTTACCGCAAGTGAGACGTTTTGGATATATAGTAATTGGGAGAGTTCATATTAAGAAACTTAATTAAGCCGATACTGGATCCGGTTTCGCGACCGTGGTGACAAGTCTTGAGTCATCTTCTTCCCTATATTTTATAGTGTCTTGTTGCGATTAATTGCTTGGCATATTCATTGTATTCTAAATACTCTATCTCAATATAAATTTATGATGATTCGAAAATCTAGATTAGACAGCACACATTTGAGAGCTAGTCGTATATGTGTTTGAGAATGTTTGTGTAAATCATGATGTAATTGTTTGAAAATCTCGATGTTTAAGATAAATATTTTGTTGAGGGAACAATCATTTACAGCAATTTATTATGTTTTGAAGAGAAAAGCAATTGTCTTACCAAATTATCGAGAAAAAGGACAAACCATATAATTATAGCGAACCAGAATTTCATGCAATAACACATAGATACGTAGCCAACACCAAACCTGGGAAAGGTGTACGACCTCACCTTCTGATTATGTTAGCAACTTAGACAATAATGTTTGTTTTGATATTTCCAGATTTTCTTTCTTTGTTAGAGGATTTTATTTTCTAGGTTACTCATATTGCGTTTGCGTGCACTATATATATATATATATATAAAGTATTTTATAACAAAACAATTATAATAATTTAATCCAACCCATCAAAAATTATATTAATCTTGGTAAAAATATTTCGTAACTAAAATATACCAAAAATGTACATTCTTTTTGGTCGACAGTAAGATTTACAAACTTAAAAAATTATTAAAATGAAAAAAAAAAACTCAAAATTTTTAAATCATTATAGAAATAATATTAGACCAGAACTTAAAACTAAACTAAAAAAAAATTATAGATCAGAGGATGAATTAATAATGTTTTAACTTTTCATTCGTTATTTATTTTAATTTCATAATTTGATATGAGATTATTTAATTTTAGAATTAATAAATTCTTCTTGTTATGGCTTTTCGTTCCTCATTCTTCTTTCTATTATTCAGATCGGATCCGAATTCAAATCTATGTCTTACGAAGTAACTATAAATGTTAAAAAATTAGTTCCGATCCTTAAAAAATGGATCCAAAACCCATTCTTAGTTGACAACATTTTTCTCACAATGAACAACCTTAATATAATGGCAAATCTTGAATGTTTCACATTTACATGATTAACTATAAGACTTATAAGATTCATTATAAATATATACCCCTTGATCACTGATTCGTAGACCCTAGCCGCTATACGTGAGTGTAACTATATACTGCGTCATTTGTTTATCAACACTAAATGGTGCAATGGTATGGTCTTAGACTCTTTCTTATATATAGACTAAAACAGAACAATAAAAAAATTACTAGAATCATGATAGATGAATCCTAGACTAGGTGGAGAAACTACGAAGATATAATATAACCACTAACCTAATTATGTTTTACCTACGTATACTAAATACTTGCTTTTGCTTTTTATAGTAATCAAATAAGTAAGTTTTAGTAGAATCAAATTTCAATTAGTGGCTAGGTCACATCTACCCCTTGTTTGAACAATATTAATTAATTTAAACGTAATCAGGACCTTACATGAGAACAAGCACCCACCACTAGCGTGTCAGAGTGCGTGACACGTGTCGATTTCTGAACTAATATTCAAACTCACTAAATGACATTTTCTCCACCACTGGGACACATATATCATCATTTTACTTTACTTAATTACTGTTTTTATAATAATCACTATTATCCCTAATTCAATAATTCATACTTGTATATATTTGATTCTGAAATTAAATACGACTAGACTCATGAAATAGATTCTCATACTTGTAAAATACTTTTTACAGTAATAATTCAATATTTATAAATATAAGTGTATCATTTTATTTTATTAAAAAAAACAAAGTATATCAATAATGTATATAATATAGAGTATTTACACTAGATACCCTAAGACCACAAAGTATTTAAGTCAAAGGAGTAGTGGCTTTTTCGTAAATAATTTGTGTGTTTGGTTTATCTTGAAAAGACCATTATACCCCTATGGTTGTAGAGTCTAGCAGTTGCACCCAGACATAATTGCGAAACGAAACTCCGGCTTATGTGTCGTTTGATATTTGTTAAAAGCGACAGTTTCGCTTTTGCATTTATTGATTTCGTTGCTTCTCTATTTGAAATTTGAATTCTCCGTTCTTCTCCCTGTGTGGAAACCGAAAGCGAGAATCTTTAAGTCCGGCGATTTGAATAGTGAGGTTCGATGGAAAACCTGCCGGAGAGAATCTTTAAGTCCGGCGAAGAGCCAGACGGCGATAGGGTTCACAAATACTTCCAACTCCAATACCTAAACGATTTATCGGAGCATCTGGAGGCAGACGAAATTTCGAAGATCAGAGGCTCGCGGCTGGGCAAATTGTTCGATATCGGGAAAAAGTTTTCTTTTTCCAACAAACTCTGTTTGTTTTTGCTTACAAGGCAGTTAGCAATCCAGAAAAAGCATGAGATTTGGTTTGTTTTTGCGGGTAAGCCGATTAGGTTTGGTCTGAGGGAGTTTGCATCAGTGACGGGTTTGCGGTGCGATCCAATTTCAATTGGAAAGGCCGATGGAAAAAAGAAGGTGGTGAGTAAGAACAAGATAAAGAAGAAATCAACTGAAGCCCCTTACTGGTACACTTTGTTCGCGAGGAATGAAGAGGTGACACCGGAGATTTTAATTAAACGGCTTAAATCTGGCGTTGTCCGTGACCCCGACATCCGATTGAAATATGCTTTATTGGTTCTGATTGATGGTGTTTTGTGCCCTCGATCTTTGAATATGAAGATCCAAGAAGAAACCGTAGAAGTGTTGAGGGACGTTGACAAATTTCTTAATCATCCTTGGGGCAGGATATCGTTTGATATGACTATGTCATGTATCAAGTCTCGAAAAGCTTCTGGGCTTGCCCAAACAAGCTTTGCTGTTCAAGGTTTTGTGCATGCGTTGCAACTAGTTCTTTTAGAGGCTGTCCCTGACATTGAGAAGAGCATGCCGGTTGATACTCCTGTCTTCGTTGGCGAGGATTCCGAAGAAGAAGCTGTAGTGGTTGGTGCTGTGGCATTGGCAAAGTTAAAATTGGAGCCAATTTGGGTGATAGACAGTCAAGCAGAGGTTAGTGATTCAGTTCAATGTCACCACATGTTTAGTTTTATCGAGGCATTCTTTTTTGTAGCCTGCTATAGTAGTTAATAGATGTTATTGGTTGTTTGCAGGCTTCTGTTGAATCTATTATTCCTCTTGATGATGCTGTTGTTGGAGACGATTTGTCTTGGTCTGACGAGGTGGAAGATGTGAAAGTTGATAATTTGGTTAGGTTAGTTCAAGAAGGCTACCAATGGTCTGGTGATGAATTTGGAGGTGGTGTGGTTGTGTCTGCGCTTCCTGTAGAACCTAAAGAAAAAGCAGAAGGGAAAAAAGTTGTTAAGTCTAGGAAGAGGAAGAAGTCTCCTGTTTGTGGCAGCAGTAGTGATGGTAGCCAGCCTGTACCATTTTCTGAATCCCAAATGGAGTGGTTAGCAAAGCAAATTAGTTCGCAAGTTTCTTTAGCTGTTAGTAGCATGGAGGATCGCCTGGTGTCTCGTTTAAAAGGGAAAAGTGGAGCTGGGCCTGTTGGTGGTAAGATTGCTGCTGCTGGAGCTGTTTCTCCTGTTGCCAAGGGTAAGGTCAAACCCTCTAGCCGTGGCAAAAAGGCAGTTCTACCCAAGCGGAAACGGATTCGTGTTGATGGAAGGTTGAGGGAGATTAGAGATGATGATGAGACTGAAACGGCTACTGTCCCAGTAGGGGATGAGTCTGAAACGGTTGGTGGCAAAGGAGGGGATGAAGGAGGGGAGGATGTTAGAATGGGTACTCAAGAAGGAGAGGCTTCTGTTACTATGGAGGATGTAGAGACTGAAGAAAGAGGTGGCAAAGGAGGGGATGATGTTAGAACGGCTAGCCAACAAGGAGATGCTGAGGAACATGTTGATGTACATCCGGATGATACTGTTAAAGCAGTGCTTGATTCTCTGAACCTGCCTAGTGAAGTGGAGGTTAGTTATTCACTATAATGTTAACACATGTGTATATGTATCGGGTCATTATTGTTCGTACCATGATATAGTAGTTAATAGTGTTTTGTTTGTTAGCAGGTCTCTGAGAATTTAGCTCCTGATCCTCAGCAGGAGGATGTTGCTGTTCTCAGTGGAGATGATTGTAATGACCAGCAGGCTGCTGCGAAAAGTGGGGATGGTTTTAATGACCAGGATGGTGCTGACAAAAGTGGGGATGGTCTTAATGACCAGGATGATGCTGCCAAAAGTGGGGATGGTCTTAATGATCAGGATGCTGCTGCCAAAAGTGGGGATGGTATTAATGACCAGGATGCTGTTGCCAAAAGTGTGAATGATGTCGCTGAATGTCAGGGGAAGGAATCTAGTGAGGCTGGAACTCTTGCTCTCTTCCCGAGTGGGGCTTCTGTTGGTTTAGAGGAAAATGTGTCAGGCGAAGGGGATGCTATTGATAAGAAGTGGTTGGAAATTGAGAAGTTTTTTGCGGATGGCGGGTAATGTGTCCATCTATTTCTGTCTATGTCTAGGAATTCGTGAAAATATATGGTTAGTTTTGTTTATATCTTGACATATTGATGTGGATCTTGTCAGGAAATATCTTTTTGGGGGGAGCTTATTCCTCCTAACCAAGGACGTGGAGGAGATTGTTGGACTACAAGTTGTATGGAAACCATGGGTTAGTATCTAAATCTTCTTTTCTAATTAATGTTGTTTCATATCATGTGTAAACCTTTTGCTCTCTTGTTTGTAGATGATGGATGCATTTATCAAGTATTTCCGTGATAAGTGGGCTACCTTAGAGGTTGGCTTAAATCAACCTAAGGTGGTTTTCCAGGGGACAAAATTTGCTTCCCATATCCTTGGTCATCGAATCAAATTTGAGAAGTCTGTGAAGAAGAAGTATGTATTTGACACAGATTTGATGGCGTGCCTGCCTCCGGATTTTGATACTCTCTACTTCCCATTCAACTTTGACAAACAACACTGGGTAGGGATGTGCCTTGATATCAGGGGGAGATATCTCTATGTGTTTGATTGCAACCAGAAGGTGCGTCGGGACACTAGGCTCCGGAAAGAAATGGAACCTTTGTTGGAGATGCTCCCTTTCGTTGTTCGTCAAGCGTCGCCTGAGCTGATGAAAGCAGTCCCCACTGACCCATTCATCCTAAGCAGAGACACACATCTTCCGACTTGTCTACACCCTTCGGAGAGTGGCCTAATGTCTCTTTTGTTCATAGAGAGGCATGTAGTAGGTGGGATTGAGGCAGCTAGAGGGGTGAGGCCTGAGGAGTTGGCTGTTCAAGCGAAGCAATTGCTTATTGAGATGTATGATGTGTATGCTGAGAAGTGAATTGTTGGTTTAGGATTTGTCCTTGTTCTTATTGGAGTTTCTAATTGTCTGTCTTAGGATTTGTTACTGAATAATTGAAGTTTATTTAATAATTTATCATGGTACGCGAGATTTTAACGCGGGATTTATATTTATATCTAGTTATGATCGTATGTATCTAGATTTGGAAAATGTTCATATCAACTGGATAACAGAACAGTTTTATTACTCTTTCAACTTTGCTTTAAAATTCTCATTTCATTTAATAATTTATCATGGTACGCGAGATTTTAACGCGGGATCTATATTTGTTTCAAGTTATGATCGTATATATCTAGATTTGGATAATGTTCATATCAACTGGAAAACAGAACAATGCATTTACTCTTTCAACTTTGCTTTAAAATTTCTCATTTCATTTAACAATTTATCATTGTACGCGAGATGTTAACGCGGGATTTTTATTTGTTTCAGGTTATGATCGTATGTATCTAGATGAGATTTGGATAATGTTCATATCAACTGGAAAACAGAACAATGCATTTACTCTTTCAACTTTGCTTTAAAATTCTCATTTCATTTTGTTCATTACAAAGTTAGACAAAACACAAACAAACAAAAAAAAGAAGAGAAACCACCAAACTACCTAACTACACTAGTAACCAAGAACAAGTTTCTGGTTTTTGGTCTTACGGAACATTAAGATAACAATTGCAATGACTGTTATACAAAGGCTCACCAAGCACAATTTGGTCATCAATTTCCATCTCTGAAATTCCTTTTTGCTCAAAATTCCATCTTCCTTCAATTCGTTCATCAAACTCTTTAACTCTGCAATCTCCAATGCTACCTCAGATTTGGCATTGTTTACCTCGCTATCAATGATGGAAATCTTCGGTATAACATCTACAACCTCCTCGTACACACAATCTTCGACCCATTTAAACAAATGGTCCTGCAATTACATCGAAAATCATTTTCCGACCAAACACAAACATTTAATAACAATTATACTTACATCTTGATTGGTTGGACAACGGAAGAAAGGTCTTCCTGGGTTCTTCTTCGTGCTTGATGTATAGATGACGAGCTCTCGCCCGCAGTGACACTTCGTAGGAAACCCACGATTCACACGTCCTCCATCTTGAACACTCGAACTCCCAGAATTACAACTCATAACTATAGAAGATGGTGATTTAGTGTTGAACGGCAGATAATTGATTTTTAGGGTTTACGTTTTGATTTGGGGATTTCTTAGGATAAGGATTTGAGAATCGAATTGGATATTTTTAGGAGCTTAGAGTAAGTCGCAAACGACGTCGTCTTTGTTATTCCCTTTAATGTCACTTTATATTTGAAATATTTTAAACACATATTTATTTATATCATGGCACAAGGATATATATCGGCGTACAAGTTGAGATAGCTCACATAAAAGTTTAGAAAACCAATACAAGTAGCATCTCTCGCACACATTTATTAATATCATGACACAGCAATATATACCGTGCTACATGTTAACATAGCGCACAGAAAAGTAAGGCAAACCAATACAAGTAGCATTCCTCGCACCTTGCTTCGATGGTGTGAATTTCAGAACAACCTGGTATTTCTGTGTGCCATGAATTGGCGTATGAGTTAAGGTGGAGGCTTCCCATTTGTTTAATTTTCGCAAATATTGAGTCGCCCATGGCTAGGACGGATCCCCAATCTTTCTTGTATAGTTTTGATGCGTATAAATTGGCAAGCTCTTCCTCTCCTGAACAAATGGACAAGACTGCCATAAGGAATGTTGATTCCTCAACGTGATTTAGAGCTTTAAAGATGTGTTCCCGGGCAGCCTTAATATCATTTTCCCAACACGCAATCCGGAGGCCCTCTAAATAGTGTGCTTCTGGTTGTCCTTCGGCCAGCGCAACCTCGAACTCGTTGCGGAGAATTCCACCTTTCTTTATCAAGGATGGTTGGTCTAGATATTTCCTCATCATATTTGTTTTTTGTTTAGGTATATTTGGATGTTTAGTTCTTCGAAATGGACCCATTTATATATTGCAATGGGTTAGGTAGATAGTAATGCAAAGGGGTAGGTAGGAAATGATGGGAAACGTGTGAAGTAGCTTTAATTTCGGTTCTAACATGTGTCATTCCTATATGAGTCTCTTCCTATATTTGTGTCATTCCAATAGGTAGATAGTAATGCAATTGGTTAGGTAGGAAATTATGGGAAATTGTTCGGTAGCTTTAATTTCTGTTGTAACTTGTGTCATTCCAATATTTGTTTTGTGGTCAATTCGATTTGATAACTAAATAGGTAGCCGGATATGTATTTTGTTATCCCGACACAAATCATAAAGGCTTTGATATGTAAATTGATAGAGGGACATTAACAAGGAAATAGCCGCTAAACCAAGTCATTATAAAAGTTATTTTACATTGTTTCCCTTGCTAAGAGAGGGGTAGGTCATAATATATTACAAGTACGAATGGGGTTGCGAACCCCCAAAAAACAAGAGTCGGTTACATCCTTCTTTAGTCACCAAAGTCGTTCGACCCAATCCGAACAGATAATCCCAAAAGACGCGTTCTTCATTCGTACTTTAGTCCCCGCAGTGCCGAGCTATACCAAAATGTGCAAGGTAGACTTGGTTTTTTATCTACATGCCCCCTGCATAATGATAAAAAAAAATTTGGTGACTAAAGTACCGGGTTAACAACATCCATATCCGGATATAAGGTGTTCAATATGAATTTTTCTGAATATGTTGAGGCTCTGTGGGACTTACTATATGGGCATGCGGCAAGTGGCCCTGTTGTGCCCCTTAGCCTTGCATCTTGAGCAAACATTCTGTCCTCGCAGCCCTTTCTTCTGAAAAATATAGATGGATACATAAGAATATACCGTGCTTTATAGCGATGTGTCGGATACATGTTTGTATAGCTGAATGTTGCGAGAGAGGTGGCTCTTACCTGAAACTCTCCGCGTGAGAAGAAGCGTTTTTTCTTTGGCCTCCCTGGTGCGCGCTTCGTGTGAGGTGGCAGCAAGTTCATTGAAGCAATATCCTCCGGGAGTTCGTGAAGACTAGAGAGCGCCGGAACGGGATTAATGGAATCCTTGTAAGCCATCACCCAATAACATGAGGTGTAGTGTACATCAACGAGAGAATGCATCGGAACCTGACATATAGAAGCGTTATTTCTACCTGTAGCACGCTATATGAATAGATAACGAAATATCAATACCTATAACCAGATATAAGTATTTATTAATAACTATATATCGGAACCTGATCAACGATAGCAGCAGCAACGGCATGGGGACAAGGGATTTTGAGAAAATTGAATTCCCTGCAAGTGCATGATCTCAGAGCTAGCTGGACATGGTATCCCCCCTTTGCCCCTCCGACAACATCGTATTCCCCCGTGTTAACCTTCCTCACGGCGAACCCCCCAGATTTCTCAAAGTTTTCTTGTAAGATTTCTCTTACCTTTGGTGTCAGCATAGTAGCCTCCTGTTTTGCAGTCTCCCGACGTATTGCGAACCAAGACATGAGAGTTTTACGCACAAACTCAACGATGTAGACAATTGGAAACTCTCGAGCTTCTTTGAGAACGGCATTGAGAGACTCAGCCACATTACTTGTCATCACATTATAGCGTTCTCCAACGAAGTAGGATCTTGCCCAGTGGCCAAACCCGATTGACTTGAGATATGCTCCACATTCGGGGGATACCCGGCAAATCTCTCCAAACACTAGGTGGAAGTCCGTGATACGGTATGCCCGTGCGGCCCTCGACACCAAGAAAGAAAGAGTCTTCGCCTTGAAAATGCTTGAGATATTACGTTGCAAGTGGACTACGCATGCCGCGTGTGCTGCATTTGGGAAAACCTAGGACATAAACAAAAGATAATAGCCATGTTAGCCAGGTATATAGGATTGTAGATTGCTATTTTGCCATATATCATGAAATACCCAGAAATGTCGTATACCTTCCTGAGAGACGAGTAGATGGAAGAATGCCTGTCTGAGACGAAAGTAACAGTTGGATCATTGGGTAGTATTTGCCTTAACATTGTCAGGAACCACTCCCAAGCCCTATCGTTTTCACTGTCCACGATTCCAAAAGCCACCGGGAAAATTTGAAAGTTTCCATCTTGGGCGCTCGCTGTGATCACGCAACCACCGTAATTTCCTCTCAGATGCGCACCGTCTATGACTATAACCTGCGCACCGTAAGTTCATACACATTTTTATGGTTTCAAGCAAAGAAAAAACGTCCGATATTTGTCACTGTGACGGGACATAAACAAACATAGCAGGGGATATGTGTCTGTGACTATTACCTTGCGCATGAACTTGAGGCCGTTTATCGAGGCAGCTAGGGCGAAGAAGAGGTACTTAAACCTTTGGTTTCCCAACTCATCCACAGTTGTTTCCAGTGCAGTTAATGTCCCAGGGTTGGCAGCCTTAAGAGCATGCAAGTATGCCGGTAGAAGAGAGTAGCTATTGCCCATTGAACCTCTTGCCCCGTCCATAGCAATCCCCCTAGCTCTCCAAGCTTTCCAATATGAGATTGGGACGCGGTGGTCATTTAAACAGATCCTTTGAACGTCCCCTGGTCTTGGTCCGGTCCCAGCACCCATGTATTGCGGCCTCATGAACTCACCCACAACTCTGGCGGAAGCTTGTTTGTGGTAGTTACTACGGGCTTCAACGCTGCAAGTGTGTTCCAGACAAGCACTACGGACTTGGTAGTTGTCCGAGTCTTCAAGTCGGACGACATACACCCGCCAGGGGCAGCTGTCGGCAACACAGTTGAGGAGGACCACTTTCTTGTCTGACCGGGTGTGACGAAAATGGAACTTCCTTTGAAGTGCATGGATGGCCATTTTGAACTTGAAGTCCTCCTTGTTTTTATAAACCCGACCCACGAATATGTCATCTCCCTCGTACGTTGCATCGTCTATAGCTTGGTCGACAACTGTGTTTCCTGGTAAGACACGTGTGAATTTTCATCAAGTTGAGAAAAAATATCATATATAACATCTTATAACGTCAAAAATCGAGGTGTTATTAATATTTATAGCAAGATATTTACATATATAACCGAATATAAATAATGATAACAAGATATATGGTTTTATAAATAACTATAGTTTTAGATAGAAGGATATTACGACACTAAATAGCAGGACATACGTATATATAACGAAGTCATTACCTCCATCTATGTTGTTGTCCAGGACCGGAGCTGCGTCCCTGCCAAATACCCCCATCGATAAGTCTACGCCAAAGAAAGTGTTCTCTTCGTCAGCGTAGCTGGGAACTGTTGAGGCGGAGCCAACCTCTAGGTTGGAGATTTTTTTACTCATCAAACCATCAAGCCTCTCGTTCCAGGGGTCGGGTCTCTTGCTATCACCAGAGTTATCATCCGAGTCTGAAGATGGAAGTTCAACTACGACGTAATCTTCGTGTATCAATGTCGCTGATTGAGGCTGGGACGACGAACCCGCACTGTTGGAGAGCGTAGGTGATTCCGTTACAACTCCGGCGTCGTTCTTTCTGGTTACGAACAGAATGAGGTCAGCGACATCGACTTTCATGGACAGGAAGAGGTCCATATCGTTGTCCGTCTTGATGGTCTGAGGTCTAGTCGTCCCGTCATCGACTAGAAGCATCCACGATGGCCAACGGAAAGTCAGCTTTAGGCGGGTCTCCACGTCGCTGATGTTGTACTCCTGTTTTAGCATAGTGGTGATCGTATCTATGCCATCGCCTTCACGGAGCCTCATGTTGCGTTGTCTCTCATTCGGATCTTGCTCGAACCTCCATTTCCCGATAGCATCACGTTCCCAGTGGCCAATCTGCACCGCCACAACTCGATGTTCCAACTCCCGTATCAGAACCATAGTACCTGCAAAATTTGAATAACAGCTTTTGTAAGTTACAAATGTTATTCTTAGCATTAAATGAGACATCAGACATAAGTAACGGTTTTCAGTTAATCTTACCAAACCGAAGAGTAAATGCAGAGCTCTGTTTTTCCTGTGCCAAATCGAAGAGTTAATGCAGAAAAGGAATGAGTTTTTTCTGGTTTGGTGCGATATGGTAATGCCGGTGGTGGCTACTTCTTTATATAGAAGGTCAATGCTCAAGTTGTGTATCTCGTAAGATATCGAGATAATGCCTCAAGTAGCAAGGGGTCATCATTACATATCATTAAATTTTTTACACTGTACTGGTCATACAGGCATTGTGCAGAGCAACGCACGGAGCTCGATGGCTGTCTTTCGTGCTACAGTCTGTAAACGTATAACGTGATACGAACATATATATCAGGACATGATAGCATATAATGGGATGGGGGAAAGATATCGTGGTAAGATATCTCGTAGCTGTGATTTCTTGTCTTGCCATAATTACTTTTGCATTTAATGCTACTCCTGTAGCAACATGGGGCAGAGAGAATTGCCAAGCTCGATACGTATGTAGGGTCCGCCGCGATTACCGTGTATCGGATAAACGCATATATATCATGATACGTATCAAGGTTGCAACACACAATCTCTGCGCAGCATTAAATAAGTGGGGGCCCACCGAATATTGCATGATATCCCTGTCCCCTACGAAATTCTCGGAGGGAAAACTCCCGCATTTTATTTTCAGGGGTATTTTCGTCAGACATTTTTGAAACCAAAGAATTCTCTCTCTTGTTTTGCAAAGAAAAAAAGTGGTGTATGCCACAGCTAATTATTTGTCAAATAATTAGCATACAGCTAATTCACTCTATAATATATACAATTATTATATTCTTGATATATATATATATATATATAATATATAATATAAGCAAGTTGGTGGCAAAAAGAGGTGCCATCGGGAGAGGATGCGCACCAAAGATTTCTACCAAAAAAATGATTTCCAAATTAGTAAAAAATATTTTAAACGATTAATAATCAGAACAAATTTTTGAAAAGAAGAGAAAGAAAAAAGGCAAAGACTGTCTGGCTCCACTTGGAGTCCACACTAAAATATCAAAATGCTATGCGAAGATCTGAAATAGTACACATTATTTTAACGTATTAATATAAATATATTTTATATGAAATATATAATATATATGTACTGCGTATTTAATATTCTTTGAAGATAATTAGATGCCCTTTTCTTTATATTATCTGTAACTTAAATCAACGTATAAAGCGATCGATTTTAATATCAAACTCAAAATATGTATGGTACTTACTTAGAATCATGAATTAGCCGTTCGTGTGTATATATTTATAATATAATGAAACATGGTGAATCATTTTTTTTTTTTTTTTGGTTGAATAACAAGGTGAATAATTCTGTAATAGAGAGTCATATATACGAATATGCTATGTACTAAAAAGTCTAAAATAATGAATTATTTCTGGTAAATGGGATTTTTTTATATTAATGTTATCTCGTTTTGAGGATTCGTTGGTAGGGGAAAATATCATTAATTTATCTCAAAATACGAATGAAGTTGAAAGTGAAAGGATAAGTCTCTTTCACTGAGATTTTCTTAAACGAAAGAGGAAACAATTTATAATATATATTTGATTTAAACTTACATATTATGTAAACATTTAGGGTTAATTAATTAGTAATTAGTACTTGGACAGTAAAAGGGGATGCACAGCTTGAGGGTGTAATAGAACAAGATTTAAACCGATCAATCCATCTTTTTATGGTTGGAACTTGGAAGTAATTATATAACTTTCTAAAAAATATCGCAATATTCTTAAACATGATTAATAAAGCTGTAAAATCTCAAAGGTTAGTCATCTTTAATCAAGAGTCTGTTGACCCCCATAATTTACATGCTTATTTGGCCGCTACGTGATGGATGATTTGAGTTAAGTTTTCTTACTTGACCCCATGTCTCAGGTTAATCTTCTCCCTTTGACCCTCCTCTTGCAAAATTATTTTTATTATTTTTTTGTCTCTTTAGTCTTTTAACACATAACTCTGGTCATTTTTACATATTAGTCTTCGTTCTTTTTTCATTTATATATATTTGGAGACAAAAATCAATATATTTCATACCATATACTTCTGATTAATATTTACAAAAAAAGTAAGATTGGGAATGATGAAAGATATGAGACTACGCTTATATCTCATACAAAGAAATAAGTATTTCTAACATTATGTATCTATTTTAATCGAAAAAACAACTACAAGTTATGAGATTTGCAACAATAATGATATTATTTTTAGTTGTAGTTTACATATAATAAAAAGTCAAAGTAACACTTAAAATGCATGAAATTTGTAATGGTAATATTTTTTTCAAATAAATTAGTTAATATTATTATATAATTATATTAATATATGATCCCACAAATAACAAATTATTCTGGCTCTGCTACCGGTGGCTTTCATATTTGACGACAAAAAATATTAAAATTCGGGCATCCTTTGATATTCAAATAATATCTAGTCTTATATTCCGATTCATGCAAAGTTATAAGCTAGTGGGTTAATGGTTATATAACTCAAAGAATGACATTACATATATTTGAATTACATAAGAAATCAAAGAATCCGAATTTTTTATTGGAGAACTTTCCACGCGAGAGAATCAAGATGAGGAGGATCGTATTCGAACTATCATTTTACACCGCCCATAAGTAAATCTTCTTTTCCAAATCATCTTAATTCCCAATCTTCCAAGATATTATAATTTAATATGGACAAAATTTGCTAATGGAATTATTCTTATGGGATAAGGAAAACAACAAAATTCGCAATGCTCGTAAACGCAACGCGACTTCTCTAAACAAAACAATTAGCACAGTATGCATCTTCCAATAGTGTATTCTGCATAAAGCTTTGACCTTAGTATGATATATAGCCCTAACCAACAAAAAGAAGAAGTAATTCATAAAAAAAAAGTGACTGCAACCTCAGCTGATAAGACAATACGGAATAGCATCAAATATGCAAAATAAAAGTGATGGTTATAATTATAAGAGATTGAGAAATAAAATTGCAGAAAAAGTAATTAACTGAACAAATAATGTAGTTGGAATAACTTGGAGAACGAAAGGTATCAAAATGAATGTTACTTTTTAAAATCTTATGCAAATATGATCTCACATTTGTATAAATGTCTATTTGTTCACAGTGGATAAATATGATGAAATAACCGCAGAATATAATACCATATCCATAATATACAAACTATCATGCAAATTTAAAATGATCAGAAAGAAACATGCAAATTTACCAACACAACTTCCAAAGTATGATGGTAACTTCAAGCTCGTCTAAAGAATTAGAGACAGTTTTCTTTACTGCTTACGTTAGTGGATGTAATATCTGACTCATTTAGGAGTTTATTTTGTCCAAAACCCCCTGCTTTTAACTAATATAGAATACCCTAATCAGAAAAAAAAACATAAAACATGCAATTAGGTCTCTCAATTGAACTACTCGGCTCCAAACACGATTTTTCTTTTCCTTCATAAATCTGGTTCGGTTCGGTTCGGCTCTGATCAATTTTTTTTCTCGGATTTAGATCTTACAGCTTGATCCAGCCCAAAAATATTACTCTCTCCGTTTCAAAATATAAGACGTTTTAGTTAAAAGCACGCAGATTAAGAAATATCTACTTTTAAAAAGTTCAATCAATCATGAATGAGACTGCGTAATATAAATAATCAGAAAATATTAAATTAATATATAATTTGCATAGAAACTTGAAAACGTCTTACATTTTAAAACAAAATAATACCTCAAAACGTCTTATATTTTGAAACGGAGGGAGTAGCTATTTACAAGATCTAGATCTTGTGGTTACTTTTTAAAACAAACTGAATTTTGGCGTAGAACAATATTTTCTTAAAATAACTACGTTTGTTAATGAACCCCAACTCAAACAACTATGCAATGAACCTCTGAAAACTAGTCGCAAACAAAAGATTTATTATGTTATCCTTTTTAAATAATGACAAGTGTGAATAAATTTGATGAGCAAAATGAAAATTAGAAGATTTAGAAAGTATTATATATTGAAATTTTAAATTAGTCTCTTTAGGCCATCTCTATATATAAAAAAAGTCAAAGAGAAAAATAATGCACAAACATGGAGAATAATAGAATACATTTTTTGTGAAGTGACCTTAGTCTAGTGGCAGATGATAAGTCCACTGATGGACATGCACCATCACACCAGGGATCGAGTCCCGCTCCTTACAATTTGTAGGGATTAGGCTAATGGGCCGGCCAGTTGTGGCCCAAGGTTGACAAAAAAAAAAAAAATAGAATACATTTTTTAAATAACACAAGAGAATAAATAATAAAAGAACCAAGAAGGAATGTGTTCTATAATATTTTCATTTTCTGCAATTAGTAAAAAGAAAACTTATAATATAGCTCCACATGCCCCTATTGTTCTCTGTGTTGGCTCTTGCATTCAATGGCCAATAAGGTACTATTTGCAAGAATCAGATCCTTCTCTTAATCCACATATGACCTCTACATTAGCTTCGCCGAAATTGTGCAATGAAAATCATAAATAATTAAATACTACTTGTTGTTCGATTATTTGAAATCCATGTATAAAAGAATAACTCAAATAAAGCATTTAAAAATTGAGACTCGAGTTCCTGACTGGTTTAAACGCAGCGGTTGCGGTTGCGGTTGCGGGAGTTTGCGGAAGCGGGCGGTTGCGGCTTTAAGCGTTATCAAGCGTTTTGAACGACTGGTTTAGCGTTTGAAAATGAGTGCGTTTGCGGGAGTTTTATGACTGGTAAACCAGCGGGTGCGATAGCAGTTAAATAAAAAAATGACCAAAATAAATAAAAAATATTACAAAAAAAAAGAAATAAAAACACCAATATATTATTATGATAATATTAGAAAAATTTGAACATGCTTAATAATTAAAACCATAAATAAAGTACTAAATAATTATTCAAAAATAAAGAAATTTTGTAACAAGATAGTACTTTATGCATCTGATTTAACATAAAAAATTGCATTAAGTAATGGGACAAACTGTAAATAACGTTGAATTCAATCAAAAAGCAAGTGAATTTCTATTCGAGAAAACAAATCGAAACATATATTCAATCAAAAAGCAAAGCAATACGTAATAAAAATAAAAAAAAACGATGCCATGAAAAATATTCAAAAAGTTACACATGAGGTGATGAATGAATAAAATGATATATGATACTTACATTTGGTTATTGATTTTCATCAGTTTGGGTGGAAGACATTGAGAGAATAGAGTTTCAGAATATTATTAGGGTTTCTGATGAGAACATGATACAAAGTGATACAAAGATGAAAGATATATATAGGATTAATAAATATTATAATAATTATAAGTAAATGTTTGATTTTCTTTTTTTTTTTTTTTTTTTTTTTTAATCCAACCGCGGCTACCGCCCGCAACCGCAAACGCTTGCGGGAAGGAGCTTTTGAAATTCAGCGATTTCGAGCGGTTCGAAGCGGGACGGAGCGGTTTCTATGATTGGTACCAACCGCTAACAACCGCAACCGACCGCTAGCAACCGCTAGGGGGGTGCTAGCGGGAGAACCAATCAAGCCCTTAATATATAAAATTATTTACTCTATAATTTAGTAATCTAGTATAATATATATATATATATATATATATATATTTTTAATATATATTTTATATCTTTGAATCGACAAGGCCCGATACATAGCCAATCCCTACTACGCGAGGTAACGTGACTTAATGGAATCGAACTCCGGTAGGAAAGCGGAGTCAAATGAACTTAACCACTTGACTAAAGACACATCCCCTAGTAATTTAGTATGATGAAATCATTATTGTAACATATATTATTATATAAGTTCAAACATACATAAATGAAATAAAAAGGGTCTTTTCCAAATTACCTTGAGATTTTTTTTTTCTTCTTAATCAAATCAATTTTTTTTTTAATAAATACATCTTGAAAAATAGACTTGGGGTAATATTTATAACAATTAACATGTAGTAAGTAATATATAATTATGTATTCAACTACAAATTAATTTTTGCAAAAGAGATTGTAATAACAGGAGTAAAAATAATTATATACAAATTTCATGTGCAACTATGTGATAATCTATTTTATGAAAATTAATAAGCACATATAATCTTCAAGAGCACGCCCTAATTTTTGTTTTCAAAGGGACTTTTTTACCATATTAGCATAACAGGAAAACAACAATGAGGAAGCGGTTGAAAGAGCAATCATATACATGGTTGAAAGAGCAATCATATACATGACATATACAAAGACCTAGCTTGGTTTGCTCTTCAGTACTCTAATCAGTTACCTTCATGCTCGCTGGCTGTTTTCGACCATACAACGTTTCCCCATAACGAATAAAATCCAACATGGACATTAATTGGTTGCAATTTAGATGTCTTTAATTTCAAAACTAAGTGAAACATCTGACCTAATATAGTACATAATTAAAGTTGGTTATATATTTATATGAATGAGATACATAACAAAACTTCCAAAATGTCTTATTTCATCATATCAACAACAACAAAAAATTCTTATTTTTCTTTTGAATTCAGAATATTTCTTGATTAAGAGATCATATAAAAAAGAATCAATTACGGATTTTGCCATTTTTAGGCTTCAAAAAAAATGATTTAACATGCGTTTTTATTCGTGATGTTTGGGTTTAGTCGGTTTTATTTGTTCTTAGGGTTTAGTATTTGGTATAAAGAACGTATTTTTACAAAAAAAAATCGTAAATATGTACATTTTAAGTGTTGAAAAATGGCAAAATCCGTAAACTATTCAAAAATGGCATTTTTGTAAGACTTTTTTAAAAAATAACATTTTGTACAAGAATCCCTATAAAAAATATAAATTGGTTTTATTTTTGGGATATTAATTTAAAAATGAGGAGAATAACAATTTACCTAGTATTATCTTACATAACTAAAAGTATTTATACATGTTCCAATTCAGTGACCAAAAACAAAACTTCTAAAATGTTTCACTTGGGCCATTTTAAAGAAAAAGAAAAAAACCAATCCTTCATTACTACTGTCTACTACTACTATCCAAGGGAATGACTGGCTCTAGTCTTGTCTTCTTGGATCAGCCAATCCGGGTTCATCCCCTGTTTACCAAAGACTACCTCCGGATCTAGAAATTAAATGCACCAAAGAGCTAAGAATATTTTGTAAACAAATTTTTTGTTTCTTAAAAAGCAAAAAAAAAAACATACAGAGAATTGATTTAATAATGTGACGTTGGAAAAGATGCCTAGAGGCTAGAGTGTCAACTTCTGTCTGAAAATGTATCCCCTTTGGTTCAAATAACAACAAGAACAACGTGTGAAGATACTTTGTCTTTTTATTTGGATGATGGAGAATTCACTAGAGGTTAAGCCTGATCATTCTATATGTCTCTATCCATACATTTTAACCAGACAATAAAAGAATTTGATCTCTATCAAACGAACTTACCCTCTACTAGATTTAGTCGTTGCCGGATAAGACATATTATGTTTTCAAAATCCGAGTAATCGCATATATAATAAATCTCTGGTGGTTAGACAAGAATAGTGGTATAAGATTCTCAGGCTATCACAATAATATAACCATTTGGTTTTGTCGCGGGGGATTATTGTTGATTTTGCCCTTTTTTACCAAAATCTTTTGAAAATACCATTTGCTTAATGGCTTTGTGGATTATGCCCTTTTTGCCATTTTTAAAAACTTAATATTTGTGAATTTTTTTTTTTGAAATAAATACTAAACCCTAAACTCTACATAATAACAAAAAATTGGAAGTTAATAAACCCAAACATAATCCCTAAAAATGTGTTTCTAAATCATGAGAAATGGCAAATATAAAAGTTTTAAGACAAAATGGCATTTTCTACAAATGCCATTGGAAAAAAGGACAAAATTCATAATTAATTCTTTGTCGCGGGCATGCTGCAACTTTTTCATGTGTGATATGATCTCCTACAAGATATGACGAACCGAAAGATTAGACACTAAAAAGAATCATAAAAATTGTCGTTGTGATGTGCAATTTTGAGTTTTTGCATTGGATAGAGTATCTATGACCAGAACACCAGATCTATTTACTATTTATATGGTTTTTAAGGCAGAAATGATTTCTTGAGGAAACAAAAGTGTTTCACATGCAGACAACATGAGCAGCACATGAAAGCTTGATAATGCAGAAATATAGCAAATGATATGAGATGCCATGTGAGATATATATACATCTAAAAAATATATAAGATATTTTAGTCTTTTGAAGATTTAGAGGATCTTCCCACTTGGATCGGTTGTGATATAGGCGGTTAAGTTCTGAAATGGTGGAGAGCATAATTATTGGTCATGTATAATGCAAAAGCCGCAAAGTCTCTTCCTTTTCATTTCCACCTTTTTTGTTTTATGTAAATGTAAATCATATTCATATGTGTGAAAGAAACAAGTTCAAGAAGTTACCAAGTCGAATAGTTGAAGCGTGTAGGCATCTAATACTTAATGCTTTGAGCACCTTTTTCAGATCTTGCTAACGACCGTGTCACTCTTATAATCTACAATCACATCAAACGGTTAAATGCTTCGGAGAGAACCTAACAACAGCAGCGGATGAATTTTCAAATAGAAACAACTTTGTGTAAAGCGACAGTTCAAAAATATTAGAATCCACAGGAGTCAAGACTTCGAGAGGGTGCATTATTTAAGACCTTGAATGTTTTGTAGATTTTGAAAGAATTTTTGGTTTTTGTTTTTCAAAAACTCATTTTCATAATGGTCAAGATTTTGAACTTTTGGTTTCCCTAGAATTTAGGAAAACTTTTTTTTTTTTGTAATCTCAATTTTGTCAACAACATTATATTAAAAGATCGGTTCAAATGAACCAATCCGATGGAACATTGTTTATACGCTTTTGTATTAGCTCGTCTAGATATAAAAGAAACTGAAAAAACTGAAAAACTTCCTTTAATTCGGTCAAAAACTGAAAAAACTCCATATACCTTATTTTTCTCAAAAACCAAAACTCTTTTTTTGGGGTTTTAAAAACAAAAATCTAACAAGAAAGTCTAAAACTAAAATCTAATATTCAAAAACTAAAAACCAACTCCAAAACTGAATTCAAAAACAGCATCCATTCTGCCATTCATGGCCTTAATCTATTTGGAATTAGAGGTAAAGATTCTGATAATTGGAACAAAGGAAGAGATAGGTATAAATATTTGGTAAAGGAGTTAGCTTTAGAATAAATTAACCAAAAGAGGAGGTGAGAGAGAAAGTGGGAACCCACCATAGACGATTGATCGGCCAACATCGTAAAGAAAGCCTTTTCTTTTTCTGTCTCTCTCTTCCTCTTTCTCTTCTTACAACACACAGGAGTAATTCTTAAGTGTGTGAGGCTGTTTTCCATACTACTATATATTCATGTCCTCACATGGTTTCCCTTTGAGGGAGATCAAGAAGAAAGTTACCAAAGCCACTTGCTTTTAAGCTTTCTTACCATTAAGAGCTTTCCATAAGTGCATCACGACGGTTACAACTACAAGAACGAGGACAAGTACAGAAACTGGTTCAGGAGTTATCATGCCTCAGAACTGCATAGCACCAAGGCCTGAAGAAGATGGTGGAGTCATGGTACAAGGTTTGCCAGACAAGACAGAAACGCAGAGCAAGTCTGTACAACCTGGTCTCCAGATGTCCATGTATCCCATAACTCTCAAGGTGTGTGTCTCTTTCTCTTGTTCAGTTCTTGTTTTAGTTTTCTGGTGAGCTTTTGAGTTTTACCTGCAACAAATCTCATCAGAAGTATTTATTTCTCTTCTTCCTCTAGCTTGGTAGTTGATAAAAAGACAGAACATCGTTCTAACGATGTTGGTTTCTTTGTGGTTGTACAGTTTGAGGAGGTTGTGTACAAGGTGAAGATAGAGCAGACAAGTCAGTGTATGGGATCATGGAAAAGCAAAGAGAAGACGATTCTGAATGGGATAACAGGAATGGTTTGTCCAGGAGAGTTTCTAGCCATGTTAGGTCCATCAGGAAGTGGCAAAACCACTCTTTTATCAGCTCTCGGAGGCCGACTCTCAAAAACTTTCTCAGGTAAAGTCATGTACAACGGTCAGCCTTTCTCTGGCTGCATCAAACGCAGAACAGGGTTTGTTGCTCAAGATGATGTCCTGTATCCTCACCTCACGGTTTGGGAGACTCTCTTCTTTACCGCACTTCTACGGCTACCAAGCAGCTTAACCAGAGACGAGAAAGCTGAGCATGTGGACAGAGTTATCGCTGAACTCGGATTGACTCGATGTACTAACAGCATGATAGGAGGACCACTATTCAGAGGAATATCAGGAGGTGAGAAAAAAAGGGTTAGCATTGGTCAAGAAATGCTGATCAATCCTAGCTTGCTTCTTCTTGATGAACCCACTTCAGGTCTTGATTCAACCACTGCTCATCGCATTGTGACTACAATCAAACGGTTGGCTTCTGGAGGAAGAACAGTTGTCACCACCATTCATCAACCATCAAGCCGCATATACCATATGTTTGACAAGGTGGTTTTGCTGTCTGAAGGAAGTCCCATCTACTATGGCCCTGCAACTTCTGCTGTGGAATATTTCAGTTCTCTTGGATTCTCTACTTCCATGACTGTTAACCCAGCTGACCTTTTACTTGACCTTGCAAACGGTAAGCGACCTTTCTCTTTAAGCTTCTAGATGATTAAAGTTTAAGGAAAAAAAAAAGAGAAACCCTTTTTAATTCATCAAAACTTGGCAAACCTCAGGAGTCCCACCTGATACTCAGAAGGAGACCACAGAACAAGAACAGAAGACAGTAAAAGAAACACTGGTTTCAGCTTATGAGAAGAACATTTCTACTAAACTGAAAGCTGAACTCTGCAATGCGGAATCTCATAGCTATGAGTACACCAAAGCTGCTGGTAATTTTCACTTTTTTGAAGTAGTCTTGTTTTTGATTCTGCTTCTGCTTCTCTACATCACTAATAATCTGATGTTATCTATTCTTTAAATGGAGCAGCAAAAAACCTCAAGTCAGAACAATGGTGCACAACTTGGTGGTACCAGTTCACTGTATTGCTCCAAAGAGGAGTCAGAGAGAGGAGATTCGAATCTTTCAACAAGCTCAGGATTTTCCAAGTCATCAGTGTGGCTTTTCTTGGTGGCCTTTTATGGTGGCGTACTCCAAAATCTCACATCCAAGATAGAGTAAGGCTCTTCTTCTTGATGCTATATAACACACATTTTTTCAATCTACACATTAGTATTCTAACCATCATTCTACATTTATTCTGAATGCAGACTGCTTTGCTCTTCTTCTTCTCAGTCTTTTGGGGATTCTACCCGCTATACAACGCGGTTTTCACATTTCCTCAAGAGAAAAGAATGCTAATCAAAGAACGGTCTTCCGGAATGTACCGTCTTTCCTCCTATTTCATGGCTAGAAACGTTGGGGACCTGCCTTTGGAACTTGCCCTTCCAACTGCTTTTGTGTTCATAATTTACTGGATGGGTGGACTTAAACCTGACCCCACAACGTTTATCCTCTCACTACTTGTTGTTCTGTATTCCGTCCTTGTTGCTCAAGGTCTTGGCTTAGCCTTCGGTGCTCTGCTTATGAACATCAAGCAAGCCACAACGTTAGCATCTGTTACTACACTCGTGTTTCTCATAGCCGGAGGATACTACGTTCAACAAATTCCTCCCTTCATCGTATGGCTCAAGTACCTAAGCTATAGCTACTACTGCTACAAGCTGCTTTTGGGTATTCAATACACTGATGACGACTACTATGAGTGTTCAAAAGGAGTCTGGTGTAGAGTTGGAGACTTCCCAGCCATCAAGTCAATGGGATTGAACAATCTCTGGATAGACGTGTTTGTTATGGGAGTGATGTTGGTGGGTTATCGGCTCATGGCTTATTTTGCACTACATCGGGTGAAGTTGCGGTAAACGTGCAGCCGAAGGTAACAACAACTAAGTAACTCCAAGAAGCTCCACAAAAAATTTTCCCCACTGCAACCAAGGAATAATATTAGTGTTAGAAAAGATAAAAGTCGTCGAATTTTGGTCGATTTTACTTACGTATCCGAGATATATATCCGACGACTTTCATTTTATTTTAGGCTTAGATGATAATACTTCCTAAGTTTGAGAATAAAACAGTGAGATAATGTATGAGATAAGAAGGGAAACCAAGTATATACTAATTCCCATTTGCAAAATAGTGACTTAACTTTCAGTCCACTCTTCCATGGAGATGATTGTTGTATCTTTTGTGGGGTTCCTTAAAAAGAAAAGGACTACTCTATCTCTTCACATTACTAGTCACCTTGCAAGTGCATATCAACTGGTGGAAAATCAATGAAATGTATGTATCAGATAAGAATTAAACAGCTTGCGGATAATAAGACTAACAACGACAGGACATAAGCAAACACACCTGACCATGACCCTCATTATCATCTCTAGTTCTTTACTGGTACTTTGATGTTTCTTTACCACACATTTAAACTTTTTAAACTGCAAGAACTATGTCAACATAGCTACAGGAATGTGCTTTCGCTTTCATGAAAATACGAAAACGAATAATTGAAACTTTAAATGGCTGTTATACTTCACATCGTTACTAGCTACACAATAATTAAAACTAAAAAGAACAAGTGGGGAAGCTACAGTGTCTGCAAAACAACATAGAGAAGCAAAGAAAAAATCTAACAAATCATTGGATGACAAAGGCCCACAAGATATGCTTACACGTTAAAACGTGATTCACTTTAAGTCAAGTGGAAACTGATGTAAGAGAAATCCATGTCACTCTCTACTTTGTCAAGTGTCATTATCATCACCTAGAAGAACCATCTTAAAACACACCCCCAAGTAAAAAATCGAAACGTCATTCACTAACTTGTGTTGCTTTCTCAGACCTAAATACATCATCCTTTGTAGTGAGTGATATACGTACGAAAGCAAGAGATCATCATATGATCTAATCATGCTCTTTCCTCTTTATACCATATATAATAAGTACACTTGTTGCTGTTTTTAGTGTACTAAATGACCATAAGAGCCTCTTTACCTTATCAAGATAACATAAACTATTGCCACTCAGAGATAAGAACAAAAAATCTCTAGTAGACAACTAAAATCAACTAAACAATCGATATCTTCTCTACTCTTAACAAAAATACATTAAACTACCACTGATATTGATTTGGGTTTTCACTCACCACATCGTTTTCCGTTAAGAAAATGTCTCATCCAAGTTGACGGTGACGCAGCAGAGAAGAAGACTCTCTACGGCGATGTTGCGACGGAGCATCCGCCATATAAGCGACCGGAATACGACAAGTAAATGATGCCGTTTCGTCACATAATACTTAAAAAACTCATCTGAAATTGCACATTAACCTTCTTTTCGATAAAGCATCCTAAATATTTCACTTTATTGCTGAAGCCCAAATAGGCCCATCTAGAAGGCCCAAACTGAGTTTTAGCTATCTTCTTTTAAAATTAATCTTAAATTGCACATTAGCCCTTACACTTACCTTTTTATTCGATAAAACATCCTAAATATTTCATTTTTTTCTGAAGCCCATTACGGCCCATATATTATGAAAGGCCCAAAATGAGCTTAGCTACCTTCTTAAAGAGTCTTGTCTCTCTCGCCGAATGTTTCTCTATGTGTCTGTTCTTAGGGTTTTAACTTTGTCTCTACTCGTTGTTTGTTTCTCTTCTCGGAAAAAAAAAATGGCGGCAATTTCTAGGGTTTTTGGAGGGTTCAGGACACTGATGTCGAAGGCGGCGAGTGTTGAGGCCGTTACCGTAGCTGGAGAAGGAAAAGGGATATTCAAGACTCTTCCGGTGTCACAGCAACTGGCTAGCTTCGCCGGAGAAAGCGAACTCACTCGTGGTTCCGCTTTGAAGAAAGTTTGGGAGTATGTCAAGCTTCACAATCTCCAGGTTTGTTTGATTTTGGAGATTTCTAGGGTTTTTTTACTTTGCGTAGATCTGTTTATGAACTTAGGGATTTGGTTGCTTTAGAGAAGGAATTGTTGCATGTAAACAAAATCGATTTAAGCATTTTTGTGGAATTTCTGTGGCTGATGATTTGATTGTTAGAGTGTTGTAGTTCTCTGTTTTCATGGAGCTTTGAGTTCTTTTGAATGGTAGTAACAATGTATTGAGGTTTAGTATCCGATCTTAAGTCGAAAATGTTGGAGAACTTGAGAGTTTTTGGTCTTTTGAGTTCTTGGAGTTGTCTATTCTCATGGAGCTTTAGTTCTTTTGAATGGTGGGAACAATGTATGGAGGTTAAGTATCCGATCTTAAGCCGAAAATGTTAGGAATCTTGAAAGGTTTTGGTTTTGGGTCTTGGAGTTTTTTCTATTTTCATGGAGCTTAAGTTCTTTTGACTGGTAGAAGAAGAATGTATTGAGGTTTAAGTCATTGAAATGTTGTGTAGTCATTGAAAAATTGAACTTCTGCTGTGTCTGATTTCACTGGATTTTGTTATTAGAATTGGTCTGTGTAATGCAGAAAACAGGCAGCTTTTAACCATAAACTTCTCTGTTTTCTGGATTATTCATAGTTTCTGTTTGAGATTGTGATTCATTTCTTGCCTCATTGTAGAATCCGGCGAACAAGAAGGAGATTCACTGCGATGATAAGTTGAAGACGATTTTCGATGGCAAAGACAAAGTCGGAATCACAGAGATCATGAAGCTCCTGTCACCACATTTTCCTAAATCCGTCTGATTTGGTTAGGTTTTATCTAACGTAGTAGTATCCAATCTAAGAAGAAATGGTTTGGCTTTTGTGGTTCATTTCGGGATGTATATGAAAAACACTAGACCCCGATTGAACTTTGGTATGTTAACAAACCAAAACAAAAAAACTCTCTTTTGATCCATCTACTGGAGAATATTATGTAGTTTGACAATTTTATCTTAATATCGTTAGATTTTGTGAAATTACTCCTCTCTCTAATCTTGGTTTTGATCACGGTATCTTTGAAACTTCCATTGCTCTAATGTATCGTGTGAGCAACGATTTCGTTATTATTGTTTATTGCAAATGAATGGTGACAATTATTTTATTCTCTGATGGAGAAGAAACGTGTCATGATCAGAAGAGGAATAAGAATGCGTTGTTAAAACGAGCAAGCATCAACGCGTCCATTTCGCTTTAAATCAATAGCTAAGAGCCTTTTTCGCTACACATAACCATTATTACACACACAACATAACATAGTATATAGTTTCATTTTACCATATCTTGTATCTCTCTCTCTATTCGTATCATCTTATCTATCTCTCAAGTTCTTGATTTTAATTAAAGATGGGTAAAGACGAGCACCACGAACAAGACAAAGGATTCTTTTCACATCATAATCATCACGGCCATGGGTATCCGCCGGGAGCTTATCCTCCTCCACCGGGAGCTTATCCTCCGCCAGGAGGTTACCCTCCGCAAGGTTATCCTCCGCCACCTCACGGCTATCCACCCGCCGCTTATCCACCTCCTCCCGGTGCTTATCCTCCCGCCGGGTATCCTGGACCCTCTGGTCCTCGTCCAGGTTTTTATTAAATCAGAATGTTTTTGTGGTTATATCTCTTAGTCTTAGTTAAACGCCCTTGCTATTAACAAACTAGTCCGATCGGTGTATGTTTTGGGTGGAGATTTATATAGTATATAGTTCTCAAAATATTATGAGAAGACAAAATATTTTTTTGAAGGGATGCATATAGCTAATCTTGGTTTATTTAAATCCAAATGTGTTCTTTAACCAAATCTTGCGTTATGCGATGTGAAATTCCGAAAAGTAAAGCTTGGTTATACCGAACATTATAATAAATATAGATTTATGCTTTGATTTTCTCTTAAGTTTTCCAAGCTCGAACAAAAATTCAAGGAAAATTTCGTGCTGGTTATATCAACCAAAAATTAACCTAAGTAAAAATAATGTTTTTATTCTTTTTATGGTAAAATGAATGTGGCTTTTGTTCAGTTAAAAATGATTTATTATTTTTGGGGTTCAATTCAGTTAGAAACATAAATGAATGTGGCTTTTGTTCACTGTTTTTTTTTTTTTTTTGTGAACATGGCTTTGGTTCAATTATGATTTGCAAATAATTTTGGTCTAGTTTTAGCCCATTTTGGTTTGATGGGTTCACGTACCACTTAACCATTAATGAATGTTTAATCATGTGATATAGGGCTTGGAGGAGGAGTTGGGGGTTTGATAGCAGGGGCGGCAACAGCGGCAGCGGCTGCAATGGGAGGTCACCATGCGGGTCATCACGGAGGCTACGGGCACCACGGCCACGGAAAATACAAAAGAGGGTTTTTCGGAGGTGGAAAGTACAAGCGAGGAAAGCATAGTATGTTTGGAGGAGGAAAGTATAAGCGTGGCAAGCACGGCATGTTCGGAGGGAAACGAGGCAAGCATGGCATGTTCGGAGGGAAACGAGGCAAGGGCATGTTCGGACGAAGGAAGTGGAAATGATCCATTAGCATTCCTCTCTACATATATTATCGTAACAACTTATATATTAAGCTTAATATAAAAATGTGTGTGTATTATTTGTTTTACATCTATCTCTAGCTATATATTATGAAAGAGTGTATTTAAATTTGGTTGAATATTTTTCATATGAATTAACGTCGAAGGAAATGTTTTCTATTTTTGGAATGATTTTTTTGTAATATATGCATGTATTGTGAATCAGTTTAATATACAATTTTATATGGAGTGATTTTTTTTCTATTTTTGGGAATAAAACATTGAGGATAATATAAATATAGAGAATTTAAAAATATGTGATTTTCCAATGGAAGAGACGTACGGTTTATCCAACAAGAAAATTACTTGATAAGATTGACACTAAATTTATCTATAGGCTGTCAAAAGAAGATAAATTCTTATCTCATGAGGATAAATTAAAACTAATAATAGTTTTGATAATTGTATTTATCTCGGAACAATATTCTTTAATTGTTGTAGACATTTCCGGGATTTAAACATATTGTATAAATTAAAACTCTCAATATTTTGGATAATTGTATTCCGTTAGAATTGGGATAATGATTAGAAAAATAAACTAAATTAAACATTTACAATAAATTGATTTCAAATTTAAATGTTTTCTTAGTCAACAAAAATAAACAGATAATTGAATCCCTTAAACTAGGGATACTGAGCTAGTTTTACGTAAGTCTCACTTAAACAAAGGACGCCAGTGAAAATATTTGTTTTAAATATTTTTATTTTTGAAATATCCAAAATAACTACAACTTACAATTTTTACCGAATTTCAAATAAATTTTACGTGAAGATTTGCACAGTCTGATCGGTGAAGTTTTGGGTTGAGTGTTATGATAGTATACCTCTTACAATATAATGAAGAGAAAAAAAAAATTGAAGGGATAAATAAATGTAATGTTGGTTGTTTCAAATAGGTTGTTGTGTTATGCGATGTGGAATTCCAATATAAAGCTCGGTTATTATGAAAAATTATAATAAATGTTCATTTAAGTTACTAAACATATATATCTACGATAGAGTCTCTTTAATTTGGTAATTTTTTGACTAAGAATTTACGCCGTTAATTATGTGGACTTTTGTTTTGGCTTTTATTTTTGTCTTTTTTAATCATGGGTCGGGGATAATATATATATAAAAAAATCTATCCAAAGATAAATAATTACTCCATAAAATGAAAATTATCTGAAATTACAATTACGTAGTTTTTTCCTTTTTGTGTTTACCAAGTAACAATAATAAGGATAATGAGTTATTGGTAACCAAAATTGTACTTGGAAAATAGATAAAGCTAAAAGAAAATAAAAATGTACTTACAGTCGTTGGTCATTTCCCACAGCAAAGAAAAAAAGAGCTAGAGGAATTATTTTAAATAAAGCCTCAACTTTTTTTAGGCTGTAAGTTCTAAAATTAAAGTGCTGGTAAATTTTTAATGCTATATTAAAAGTGAGGGTATAGATAGCTGAGTCTAACCAATCATGGCCTAAACAAAAGATACCATTGAAAATGTTTATTTTTGAATAAACACCATTAATATCCAAAATAACTATAAAGTTAAAATTTTAACAAATTTTCAATTAATATTTACGTGAAGATTTCATAGCCTGGTCGGTGTAAGTATTGGGTGGAGTATAGTAAGACTTATTTTAACTATCAATATTTTCAATTAATATTTTTTTTTCTTATGAATTAACGTTGTAAGACTTATCTTTAATTTTTGGAATGAATTATTATTATTATATATAAAGAATAATACACTTTTATGTGGACTTATCTGAAACTACAATTAAACAGTTTTTTTGTTTTTTTTTTGTGTGTCTGCTTACCAAGTATCCGAAACAATTAAAAATTAAAAATTAAAAATTAAAAGCAGATAATTAAACCCACGATAATAGGGATAAGATGTCAATATATATCCGAAACAATTAAAAATTTTAACATCATATTTCAACAAAATCTCAAAAAATCGTTACGTTAAGATTTTTTCCTATGCCTATATATACGATTGTTTCTATCTCTTCTTTGACTCAAGAAAAAAAAATTCTACATAACAATGATGATTTCTCTAAAGTTTCTTTTGTGTTGTCTCTTAGTGAGTAGTTGTGCATATGCCACAATCGTCTCTCACGACGGCCGTGCCATCACTATTGATGGCCATCGCCGTGTTCTTCTCTCGGGTTCTATCCATTACCCGAGAAGCACCACTGAGGTAACTTACATATCAACTTATATCTATTTGAGTGGTTCATTTATTATGTTTAGTAATATTGTTAGTAAACGAATTAATTTTTTTTTTGTTGTTACATTTTCACGTTTAGATGTGGCCGGATCTTATAAAGAAGGGAAAAGAAGGAGGTCTTGATGCGATCGAGACTTATGTGTTTTGGAATGCACATGAACCTACTCGTCGTCAGTATGATTTCTCTGGAAATCTAGATCTTATTCGGTTCTTGAAAACCATTCAAGATGAAGGAATGTATGGAGTTCTTCGTATTGGACCATACGTTTGCGCAGAGTGGAACTACGGGTAATGTACTAAATTAGCTCCATTTGTTTATGGTGATATTAGTTTTTTTTTTCATTCTTATTTTTTTTTTTTAATATCTCTTTTGACTAATTTTGATATTTTAATTATGTATATTCATTTTCAATAGAGGATTTCCGGTGTGGTTGCACAACATGCCCGGAATGGAATTCAGAACTACTAATACTGCATTTATGGTAATCTACATTCGATAATCATTTATCAAATTTCATATGTAATACAATTGTTTTCATTAATAGTAAATGGATGATTATTTCTATGCAGAATGAGATGCAAAATTTTACGACTATGATAGTAGAAATGGTCAAGAAAGAGAAGCTATTTGCATCACAAGGAGGTCCAATTATCCTTGCTCAGGTAATTAAATTTGCAACATTATAATATCCACTATGTATATCTATTTGGTTATACAATATACAATCTTTTGTTTCTATCTCGTAAAGCCTATTACCGCATATCTCATGCGTCTCTCAATTGTTTCCAACGTTGCTACCAGAGTTCGAATACAAAAGCGAGAATCAGAAGACACAATTTTGATTTTAATTATCTTAAATTTGCAGATTGAAAATGAGTATGGAAATGTGATTGGATCATACGGAGAAGCCGGTAAGGCATATATCAAGTGGTGTGCAAACATGGCTAATTCTCTTGATGTTGGTGTTCCATGGATCATGTGTCAACAAGATGATGCTCCTCAACCAATGGTAATTTATTTAGCTAAAGTACTTAATGGTTTTTCATGAAATTAATTTATACATATATTAACACTAATGATGTGTAAATTTTTTGATTTTGTAGTTAAACACATGCAATGGTTATTATTGTGACAACTTTACACCAAACAACCCCAACACTCCAAAAATGTGGACTGAGAATTGGACCGGCTGGTTAGTTTGTTTTTTTTTTGCGTTATAATTATAAATATTTTTTTGACAAATAATAGAAACAAAAAAGATTCCTTGAAGTTTTCCTTTACTTTTATGCAATTTGTTTTTCCCCATGGTTAGTTTTTATTTATTCTTATAAGTAACTATATTTTTATTTCATATTCGCTTAGGTACAAGAATTGGGGAGGTAAAGATCCTCACAGAACAACCGAAGATGTTGCTTTTGCCGTTGCAAGATTCTTCCAAAGAGGAGGAACTTTCCAGAACTACTACATGGTAAAAAAATTAATGATGAAACTTTTGTTTATTAGATTAAGTAATTAAGAATATAAATAAATGATCATTAACAATAACAATACTGATTTTTTCATTCTTATTTTGGTAGTACCATGGGGGCACCAACTTTGATAGAACCGCAGGTGGTCCGTACATCACAACAACATATGATTACGATGCTCCTCTTGATGAATTTGGTAAATATGATATATATTCACATTTAAGTTAATTTAAATATTTAAGAAAAAAAACTAGTACTAACATGATGAATATCTATTAGGTAATTTGAACCAACCAAAATACGGACACTTGAAACAGCTTCACGATGTTCTTCACGCGATGGAGAAAACTCTCACGTATGGAAACATTTCCACCGTTGATTTTGGAAACTTAGTCACGGTAATTCTCATTTTTGTGCTTATTTTGTTAGTTAATATATTTAATATGTTGCTCTCTAACCTATGCTTTGAACATATATTGTTATAGGCAACGGTTTATAAAACAGAAGAAGGATCAAGTTGTTTCATTGGAAACGTAAATGAAACTTCAGATGCGAAAATCAATTTCCAAGGATCATTTTATGATGTCCCGGCTTGGTCTGTGAGCATTTTACCGGATTGCAAAACTGAGACTTATAATACCGCCAAGGTTTGTCTTTGTTACACTCAAAGATTTTTTAAATAGTTCTTAATAGTGATCATTATTACATTCAAATTATAATCCTTAATACATTGGCTTTTTTTATGGTTTTATATTTTTCAGATTAATACTCAGACTTCGGTGATGGTTAAAAAAGCGAATGAAGCTGAGAATGAGCCTTCGACTCTGAAATGGTCATGGAGACCAGAGAACGTAGACAATGTCCTCTTGAAAGGAAAAGGAGAATCTACAATGAGACAATTGTTTGATCAGAAAGTAGTAAGCAATGACGAAAGCGATTATCTTTGGTACATGACTACGGTTAATATCAAAGAACAAGATCCGGTGTGGGGGAAAAACATGTCTCTTCGTATTAACAGTACTGCTCATGTTCTTCACGCTTTTGTCAATGGACAACATATTGGTAAGTACATGACTTATATGCTTTTAAACAATACTCAATACATAAATAAAAATATTTCATAGATTTTGTTCCTTTTTTTATTATAGGTAATTATCGCGTAGAAAATGGAAAGTTTCACTATGTTTTTGAGCAAGACGCAAAGTTCAACCCTGGTGCTAATGTCATTACCCTCCTTAGCATAACCGTAGGCCTTCCGGTGAGTTCAAAATCTTATAATTCTTAAGTTAAAACCATTCTTTTAAGGTCGTATCTTTAACCATTTTTTTTCTTTTAGAACTATGGTGCTTTCTTCGAAAACGTTCCGGCTGGAATCACTGGACCCGTTTTTATCATTGGAAGAAATGGTGATGAAACCGTAGTAAAAGACTTGTCTACTCATAAATGGAGCTACAAAACTGGTTTAAGTGGGTTTGAGAACCAACTCTTTAGTTTAGAATCACCTTCTACATGGTCAGGTGAAAGTGTACCATTCAACCGAACCATGACTTGGTACAAGGTAAGTAGATATTAAAATCAATAGCTAGCAAGTAGATATTAAAATCAATAGCTAGCTAGCTAACCAAAATATTATAGATGCAATTTCAAACCGTATTATTCTAATGTTTATTTCAGACTACTTTCAAAGCTCCTTTGGGAAGTGAACCAGTTGTGGTCGATCTTTTGGGACTTGGAAAAGGAACGGCTTGGATCAATGGGAACAACATTGGACGTTATTGGCCAGCTTTTCTTGCAGATATTGATGGTTGTTCAGCTGAATGTAACTATAGGGGAGCTTACTATGCTGAAAAGTGTCAGACAAATTGTGGAGAACCTACTCAAAGATGGTACTCTTTGCTTAATTTATCATGTTCAAAAATCAAATCGTGTTGAGTTTGTTTCAAATGGAAAGCTTTTACTTTTATCAGGTACCATGTTCCTCGTTCTTTCTTGAACTCGGACGGAGACAACACGTTGGTATTGTTTGAAGAGATTGGAGGAAACCCATCACTTGTCAATTTTCAGACAATTGGAGTCGGGAATGTTTGTTCTAATGTCTATGAGAAGAACGTTCTTGAGCTTTCGTGCAATGGAAAACCCATTTCCTCCATCAAATTTGCTTCTTTTGGTAACCCAGGAGGCAATTGTGGATCATTCGAGAAAGGAACTTGTGAAGCAAGTAACGATGCTGCCGCTATCCTCACCCAGGCATGCGTTGGAAAAGAAAAGTGTTCCATTGATGTCTCCGAGGAAAAGTTTGGAGCAGTGGAGTGTGGTGGTCTTGCTAAGAGACTCGCGGTCGAAGCTATTTGCTAGTTGGTTTTAGAGATTTTAGGGCTTTTCTAGTTTTAGGGAGTTTTTCTTGCTTTTCTATTTTCAGATTAGGTATTGCTATGTTTTTTTCGGAAGGACTTGGGTGTTTTTGATCCTAGAATGATTTCTCCATTACTAGTTAAATGGAGATGTTATTAAAATAAAAGAACTACTCCTAATAAATTATCTGGCTGTTTTCTCTTCTCTTAACTCGATCATTGTGAGTACGTCTTGAATGAAAGATGGATACAATTTTCAGTTACAAATTACAAGAAACATTCAAGTACAAAAAAAAGATATCTATATAGAGTCTACAAACAAGTGCATCATCTTTCCCAAGAATTGTTTTCTTGCCTCTCACGGCGTTTTAAGAGGAGGAACTGATTTCCAATTAGGTTCCTCGTCCCAATACATATACATGTCGTAGTTAAAGTGACCTGGATTCTTTTCTTCCGAACCACACCATTTCCCAACATATCTCTTCACTCCTTCTGAATCTCTCCTATTGCCGCCTGCTCGGAAACAAAGTTTTCTGATCCGATTTCTTATTGCAAGATTACACCTATTACCCAGAGCTCAAAGCTTGCCTTGTTAGAGAATCGAACAAAAGCATCTTCTATTGAAGAAAGCTTGATGACATTGACAATTTGACATCGTTGAAGGATGAGAATGCTGCTTTAAACTGCAGCAATAACAAGAAAACAAAACAGAGAGATTAGCTAACAATCACATCAAAAGAAATCTAGTTTTACCATTTCTTTGTTTCTCTGGTTGGGAACTTGAGAACTCCATAGAAACTTGTTTTGTTTGAAGCTTCTTCACATCATAATGGTTTGGCAATAAAGGATTTTCTAGAAAGAATATAGTCAGTCTCACACACTAGTAGCTCGTAACCATAACGAAATATCGCATCTATGATCTATCAGAGTTACTTTTTCATTTCCCATCTTGTGAAATGTTGGAGAACCCCATCTAACATCAACCGTGCTCCCCATATCGAGGACCGGGACACCTTTCCAATACAAAACCTCTAATAGCTTTGTATAAGCCTTTCAAGTTGAATTTACAGCAGAATTTTTCTCGAGTACAAAACACAACTAGAAAATTAGAGTGAGGTCTTTAAAAGAGTTAAATTTTAGCCCAACTCAAGATAATTTCATTAAAACATAGTTCCCAAAGGTCACTGTCATGACATTGTCTTTTGCTCTCTTTTTAACCATTTCTTTCGTCAGTCTAAATGTTTCAATCGGTGACAATTTCAGAGACTAAAATTTGTGACATGAGGATATGGCGGAGAAGATTTAGACGAGAATGCCAATGAACAGAGACAAACTCTTTGACATAAAGAAAATTAAATACCTCTAAGTAAAAGATGATACAAATGTTCTATAGACACAACAAGACAAACTCAAAACCATTACCTGATGACTCCAAAATTAAACGAGAAACCAAAAAATAAAAAGAAAAAAAGTTCTCGATGCGTGCCTTACCTCTCTTTGTGTTTTGTAAACTGAATGGTTCCTATTGAGAAGTAACTTAGGTACAACAAAAAGCTGTTCTTGAATTGGAAACATATTAATTCCCAAACCCCACAGCACATTACCAAATATGGAATGATGATGATGATGATGATGATGTGAGTCGCTGAATGGATTGGTTTGGTCGGAGAATGGTTCGTCTAGCCGAGGAGATCTTTGAACAGTGTAGGGTTCTGACTTGTTGGGTTCACACCCATTTGTCTAACAAGAGCATCTTTCTCGAGAGCTTCCTTTGTGTTTGGTCCTTTTGAGGTTTGAGATTGGTACGTGCGTGGGTTTCCTTTGGAGCTATCAGACAGTTCGGATAAGAGAGAGTCAACACTTGTGGTTGTGGTCACAGGTGCTGCATCTGAGTATAGTCCCATTACATCGGATGAACCCCCATCTTGACTCGAAGAATCCAGAAGACCTTCCAACTCTTTAAATGGATCCATTGCTGTAACGGTTGTGGCAGTTGGCTCGCCTAAGTCGAGCAAGTCCGGTGGCGGTTGAACAGGGGTTTGATTTTCCTTGGGGACGGCTGCAGGTTTGTTAACAGTTCCTTTCGCCGGCTTGTGACCACCAGAAGATGACTTTTTATCAGTTCTTGATGACGGTCCACCAAACAAGGATGCAGCGAGTCTCTGTTTCTCGGGATCGATTTCGGGTTTCTTTGGTTCATAGCTGCTTCGAGGCTTTGAGCTAGATGAACCAACTCCTGCATCCGAGTATGTAGGGGTACCGTTTGCTGCTTGCTGAGTAGTAGAAGAAGATGATGTGGTCGATTGATAGCTCGGTCTACCCCATTTTTGCTTAACTCCATCGAGTCGCAGCTTAATTTCTGAAGACTCTCGTTCAGAAACCAAAGATGTTGAAATTGGCTGGTGTGACTCGCTATAATAAGAAGGCTCGGGTACTGGAACAAGCTCGTTCGAAGCTTGTGGTGGCCCTGATGGCTTTGGAAGTTCATAGGCTTCGAATCGAAGAGCATGAGATGGAACTTCGTGATGATCCTGGGGATGGTAATCGGTTGTTTCAAACATCCCCGAGCGCTCTCTCTCAGAAATATAAGGTTGTGCTCCACTCTCGATAGCTTGTTGGATATAGCCATTGAGAAATGAAAGATCCTTGTCAACCTAAATCAGGAAAAGGACCATAAGATTCATGAAATCTACGCTCAAAGGAAGCGAATGAAGAGAGAACGTTACCTCAATGTCTTCGCAACTAGCATCTAAAGGGAGTATACTCTCAACAGCACGGGCATCTAGAGCAAGGAGAGCCTGAAGCTCATATGCACGTTGCTGAAGATCTGTTGAATGTGAAGCCAGTAGCTCTTCGATCAAAGATTGGCACTACAATATAAAAACAGTCAGTCCATGAAAAAGCAGGCTATAGATTGGGTTTTTAACTTCAGGACCGTCTAAAGATGCATACCTCTGGCAAAACATCAACCTTTCTCCCAGATGCAATTTCAAATGCGTAGATCTTCATTAGTGCAGAAACAGCATAACCCTTCAAAAAGAAGAGGAAACCATTACTATACAGGTAGCAACTGGACTGAGTTTGCAGTAAGTAGAAACATCACCACTCTCCTGTACATGTATACTAGCAATTAATCCTGACAGAAATCTACCAGGTTAGAAAATTTTTGTTGACTATACATTTAAGGAAGACGAGTGGGTTAAGTCACATATTCATGAAATTCAGTCTCTACCATGTTGTCCGAATGCAACTTAAGTATGGAGATCTAAAAGATAAGTCGAGTGTTACAAGAAACTACAGCATACACAGAATTAAAAGGCCAGAACAGCTAAGCAGGTAAAGGTTTTCTCGGTGAATAATATTCGAAAGCTGAGGAGATACCTTTACAGTTTCATCACTTGAGTATGCGTCTGCCACATCGCACAGCTTTCCACTAATATAGGAGGCAGAATATTTCCCATCAGCTGTGCCATATTCTCCCAAGACCCAAGAAATTACCTGAATTTAAAATCAAAAGTAAGAAACAAAAATTCGTTGCGAAAATTGGTACGTGGAGTGATCAGAGAACAAAATCAACCTGAAGAAACAGGGATGGAAGTTTTGGCTCGCTTATAAGCTGCAAGTACGATTCCACCTGCATCAAGAAAAACACACTCATATGCCAATAACATTACACTATCTAAGCCAGCAAAACAAAACCAGGAAGTAAGAAAGGTGACTGAAGTTACTCAATACTAACTTTAAGATTGCAATTTCAGATATCGACTCAATTCTCTGCTAAAAATGAGTTCATATATCACCAAAACAAAAACTACCAATTTCTTTGCACATTAATGCAGAACGAACAGAAACTGGAATGAACAACATACAGCTGATAATCTGAGCTTGCTGTCTGCATCATCATCGTCCTCTCCAAATCCTTCAGCAATCAAACGCATCAGATTATGTGCCACCTTAATATTTACCAGATCTCCTGCATGCTCGAAGACTTTATTCATGATCTGCAGTCCAGAAACAGTTAAAATTCTGTCAACCGAAACATAAGAGTATATAAGTATATTGTCCGGCCACAGTTACAAGGGAGATTGGCTTGCTACCTGGATGAACCATTGATTGCTTGGAGCAAATTGTTCGGCCAATTCTACACAACGAGATGCTATCTCAGTTTTGTAATGATTGTCATTGATGCTAATCATGTAATCAATCATTCGGTCGACAATCACTTCTACATTAGACGACTTTGTCATTTTGTACAACAATTCAAATGTCTTCCTCTTTAGTGTATCATCTGGATCCTGTCGGACAGTAGCAACGGAAAAAAATTCAGGCAAGAAAAAAAAACAATGTGCTGACATGGAAACAAACAACTAAAAAAGTTTCCTTTTTGCTTCTGCTCACCTCCAAACAATCTATCACAGCAAGTTGGTGCTGCTCAGCAATGTCTGGGCTTATTTTTATCAAACGACCAAGACCATCAATACCCATGTACTTCAGATTGTGACTATCACTCTGCAAATAGTTTTCCCGGGATTTAAATTACAATCATAAGGTTAACAAGAGTATCTGCATACATGTCAGGAAGACAACAAACCTTCAAAAACTTGGAGATAGCATCAGCAGCAGCTTCCAACAGCTTGGGATTTGGAAGTATACAAGAAATACATCGAATACACTCATAAAGGATCGCATTTCCTATATTGGTAGAGGAATCACACTTTCTGAACAAATCTCCAAGCACCATAGACATGATTTCACTAGCATTCTTATCACCACTACCCAGCAAAGCCATTATCTTCAGCAACTTGATCTAAAAACCAAATTTTTTTGACAAAAAGACTTATCACCAGTTGCAAAAACTAAGACATCAATGAGAGAAAACTAAAGCGAAAACACGAAACCTGTATAAAAGGTGCAGGCATTTGATGATAATCATAACTCTTTGGCAATCTTCTCTCAGTGACCTGTTTGAGAATGCTAACGAAACTGCTAACCAAATCCTTGTAGGAACTAACATCTTCACTTATAAGATCAAACAACGGACAAAGAGTCGCTCCCATAACTCCAGGATCATTATCACATAACCTCTTTCTGAAATTAGTAATCAAATGCGAAACCGAAGAAGGAGACTTCCGATGAAATCTATGTAAAGCCATAATAGCTTTCTTCCTCACAGCTTCCTTTTGATGATTAAGCAACTCAACAACCTGAGGCAAAACCGCCGGAATCGTCTCTTCATTAATCAACCTACAAATCGCATTAAGCGCCGCGCAAACAACGAGAAAGTTATCGGATCTGAGATCTTTCTGAATCGTGTTAACAATAAGGATAATAAGATCATGATCTTCGTTGAGAAACAACGTCACTGCTAAGTAACCAGTACGCTTGAGAAGAAGATTGTCGTCGTGAGTCATCTTCACGGCGTGAATGTAACCAAAAGAAGCGTCGTGACCTAACATCTCTATGTAAACAAGTCGTATAATGTACTCTTTCATCTTCCTCTTGGGAATATCTGGCTCTAACAATCTTCGTTTTAGTATATCGATCTCGCTGAGAACGATCCGATCTTCTTCGGCTTTAGATCGTGCTTCTCCGATTGATTTGACCAGATCGAGAAACTCCTTCGACTGACCAAATCCTCCTTGTGATCCCATCGCTAGCTCTCTTCCAATTGTCTTTAGCTGCTCCATCTTCTCTCACTCACTCAAATCCCTAGCAACAAATTTTGAGCGGTGATTTCTTCGATTGATTTTGAATTAGGGATGTTTCCGATGAGAAATCGGATATTGGACCATGCGAAATGAGATTTGTGATGATGATGATTGGTGCCGTGAGCGGTGGCGGCGATGATTCTGATACGGTGGAGTTCTCAGATCTGAGAGAGTGAAATTGGAGATGAGAAAAACGTGAAGAAGAGAAGAGATTTTTAGTAACGAGAAAAGAGTTTGCTTTTAGCTGAATTAGCCTCTACACCAGGCGGTCCCCAATAGCAAAACCAACACGCGTGTAACAGTAAAATTTAGAGGTGGTTAAACCGGAGGAGATTTATATGTGATTGGTTTTTCGATTCGGTTTGGTGTGAGTTTTTTGGTTTTTGGATTTTTTGTTGGTATGAAAAGTATGTCCAAACTAAAACACCGAAACTAGTTTGGTTCGGTTCTATATGTTGAAATTTTGAATTCGGTTTAAAATTATTTTCAAATTTACTTATATTGAAATTTATTTTTATTATTTTACTTTATGTTATTTACTTATCCTCGACTATTTGGATACAGTGCCAACCCGAACCATTTTGTTGTTTAAAAAAAAAAAATGGTTCATTAACAAAAACTATTTAAAAAAATAATTACAAATTACAGTAAGATTATGAAACGAGAATAATTATGGACTGACCATTACCAATTTACCATAACGTTTTCAAAAATGATATCTGTAAAATTATGTATAATCATTTGCTTCCTAAAACTTTTGTTTTAAAGTGATCCTTAATAGTTGCTTTAAAGCCTGAACCCATTTATTGTATATGTTTCCCTTTTTTGCACCATTTAGAACCTGTGATTGAGATTGTTGAATTACGTTGCTTATTTAGATTCAAAGAGTAAAAAAACTGCTTGATTTGATGAGTCTCTCTGCAAATGCATAAACTTTTTCATTGCATGACTCTTATGTATGTGATATTTCAGGTGACTCTTGACATCATGAAGGCAATTCCTCGAGACTAGTAATTTGGGCTCATCAACATTTTTGCACTCTTGTGTGGTCCATTTCAAGATTGAATATGAAAACTCTAGACCCGATCGAATTTTGGTATGTTAACAAAACCAAAAAACAAAACTCTCTTTTGATCCATCAACTGGTGAATATAATGTAGTTAGGCAAGTTTTATCGTAGTATTGTCTGATTTTGTTAAATACTTATCTCTAATAGTAGTAGTTTCGATCTCGGTGTCTTTAAGGCTTCCTTGCTCATTTAGTCTCACCAACTTTAGGAGATAATCACTAATGCATAATGAATGACAATACAAAGGCTGTTATAAAAAAATTACAAATTATAGTTATAGCAAGATCTGTGGTCAAACTTCAAACCTGGAATGAGAATAATTATGGACTGACTATCTCCATAATGTTTTCAAAAATAATGTCCCTAATATTGTTTATAATCATTTGCTTCCTAAAACCTTTGCTTAATGGCCTTTAATTAGTCCTCTACCGGTCCTTAATAAACCACTAAGCTACAGATTTGATCACTATCAATTTAATTTAGATGATATCTATTTGTATTCTTATAGATAATTATAAAGTTTTTGAAAAAGATACGACATTTCTCAATAAAAATGTATGACAGTATACTCATAAAATATCAGTTGAAGCCAATAATTTTGAAAGTTCAAGAAAACTCGGTAAAGTATCATACCAAAGAGACTAACAATAGCTTCAAGAACTACTTTCTATTACAAGTCAATGTGAAAGATCATACAGAGACTAGTAACTACATCACCAATGTATTTCACGGCCTTACAAGGTTGAGGAATGAGCATGTGATGATGAAGGTCTTTACCACAAACATGATGAGAATTACGTAGGCCATGTTTCTTTCGTGTTAGAGTTAGTTTCTTAATTATTGGTGTTATTTTTTAAGCAAAAAATATATTGTTTTTAATTTGCATATAGTAGTGGTTGAATTCTTGACATTTATGGATGAGCTCATTGAGTAATAATGTCTTTTTTTTTTTTTTTTTTAAAAACAATGTCTTCAAATTTTCCGAATAAGATACTCGTTTTGTTAATAAAGGCATTTTCAGATTTGTATTTATGTGTTTCATTAAAGATTTGTGGATTTGTTATGATACACTGGTTGTATTATAGCTAGGTTGCCTGTGGCCCAAGAAACCATTACTAACCCCTGAACTTTTTTCTACATTACGCTAAAATGGGTGTGGCCTCTTAAACACGAAGAGTTTGGTGTGACGTCGTTTTTATCAGTTTTGTGAGAATTTGCTTTGATGATCAATCTCCATCAACTAGCAACACTATCACCATCAATCTCTCTTTATCTCACTACCTCGCCAAACATGTTTTGGCAGGCTTCAAAACTTAAAACGCTATTTTTTCCTTTCTAAACACGGATTCTTTATGTTAGAGCCTAATTAAAAAACCAACATTCTCAAAAATATTGATAAAATAACTTTTTCAATTATACACGTTAATATACGGATTAAAATGTTAAATGCAAACGGCATCTTTTCATTATAAATTGCGTTCGTAATTGAATATAAAATAAAAAAAATCTTGTATATATTTCTACATATTAAATTATGCGAAAATATACAAACAAACATATATAACTTATATATATATATATATATATATGTATTTAACAACTTGTATAAAATTTAAATAATCATATCAGAATAAAAAAAAACGGTCACTTAAAAATCATATATCACAGTTTGCAGTAATTATATTTAATCTATTTTGGTCTATGAGGAAATGGACTAATTTAACTAAATGTGATCACCAGTTCAATTAGGAAAGGTTTCGAACTTCTAAGTTACAAAAAAAGAAAGAAAAAGAAAAAGAAAAGCAATGAATATTTGATGTAAAGATTTTGCATTTTCCATTTGATAATATGTCTTTGCTTTCTACTTAATTTTCAAACTACTACACATTTTGGGTGTGATGTTTGTCGTGAGTCGCGACCTGTAATGATGGTTTGACTTTAAACGCAAACGCTCCGAGAATAGCGGCCAGAGTCATAACGCACAGAAAGCCAGAAGCTGCGAACACACCGTCTTTCACAAGGTAACACTCACGGTTTAGCCACCCTTTGCCGTATCTCTGCTCTCTGTTCATGCTTGCACCAACGCTTATCAATGTAACCGCAACTGCAAAATTAACCCTGCAATGAATTCATGTATTATATATATGTACTTGCAAAATTAAATCCGGTGACAACACTATAGATCACTAAATTAATTACAAGCTATATTTGTTTTTTGTTCGTAAAATTTGATATAACAAGCATATTCTTCTTACCAAGAAAACAACAGAAGAATTATACAAAGCAATGTCGTTCCGGTTTTGTCCGTTTTCAAGTAACCTCTACAGATCACAACGTTTCCGACGATCTGAGCAACGAAAACACAGACCAAAGCAGCAATTCCTAACCCGAAAGCACGATTTTCGGGTAAATAACACGATTCTCCATCCCATTTCAGATCTTTCCCCTATAAAAAAACGTAATTGTTTTAGCAAAACCTAATTCCAAATAATGTTCTTAGAACACAAAATGGATAACTTGAGAAACAAGTCATTTGAGAATTGGTTTACCTTAGCCTTTTGAAACTCGGCCGAAAGGCACAGGAAAAACGCGGCGAGACCAAAGAGAAAGATGAACATGAAAAAGAGAGAAAATTTGGGTCGCCCATTCCGGTTATCTTGTTCTTGAACCTCCATTGATTTGCTCTTAAATCCCTTCAGAGGGAAGACGAGATTACTTGAGACCTACTCCACAATTACATAGAATAACTATTTATGTTTGCTTTCGTATATATGTTTGTAAAGAGTGGATTTGTTCTTTGTTGTTATGGTTGGGTTGTTGGGTTCTATACTTTGCTTTTGTGTTAATCAAGGATTTGTGTTTTTTTTTTTTTGAATCTTAAGAGGATGAAGAGAAAAAAAACTTTTGTGGGTCATGCGGTTGGACTCTTCTCTCCTCTGTTTTTTCTCTATATTAATCTAGAAAAAAATGTATGAAATTGTTGCATAATTATTTATTTCTTAAAAGGGAATTTTTTTTTTTCTTATGGTTTAGATAATTTAAGACCTTAGATTATCCATTAATATATATGTCTTTTTTGATCAAGAGTCAATTGAATAAATCTAGTACACTAAGATTAAAAAATGACATATGTCGAAAGAACAGAGCGGCAAATATAAGTTTCCTAGAGCTCGTCTAATGAAATCTTATTTATGATACAAGATAGTGTTCATATGTTACTCTTTTTTCTCTTTTCTTTTTTTTTGTTAACGGAGGCTTGGTACTTGAACAATAAATTTGGCACAAAAGTTACGGAACGAAAAAAAAAAAAAAAGTTGAATCCGTACGTATCTGGTTGTAACATTTTATCAGAAGTTCCTTAAGAGCTTGGCTACTCGAAACTAAACCCACATCTTTGCTAGCTTAGGTTTGAGGAGTTAATTTAAAATTCAAGTTGCTCTCTACTCTCTTCCAAAGTCTCTTCTCTTTGTACCGTTTCCTAGGAAGCAATATAATTAAAATTGTTTCTAACATCATCCACATTTTCATACGATGACGAGTGTCTACATAAAAAAAAAACATGGCCGTACAAGAGAAGCAGTCGAACAAGGCACACGATTCAAACAATAATATTTTCTTTATATTTTTAATATGCATATAAAATTGAGGTCTATAACTTTTTAACAAATATATGTATTACTGTCTATGAGGACCTTGACCTATGATGGCTCTCTTTACAAGCTGAGAGGGTACCTCTTTCAAATTGACTTAGCTTGGGTTAGAGAAGCTTGAATTAGTCTCATTACTGTCTTCAAGAGTATTTGGAACCGTTGATGCGGGTAAGCACCAGAGAGGTTTAGGTGGAAGTTGGAGATCCTCTATATTCCCCTCTAACATTTCAATGACTTTGATCATTGGTGGACGATCAAATGGACTTGTTTGAATACACCATAGACCAACCAATACCATCTTCTTCGCAATTTTCTCTTCTTCTTCAGTTATACGATCTCCAAAAATACTCATGATGTCTCCCCTCTCAAAATCCTTATAAATCCAATCAGGAAAGTACATTGAACTATGGTTGGATCCAAAATTTTCAACCTTTTCTATATTCCTTGCTCCGATCATCTCAAGAACCACCATCCCGTAACTATATACATCTGACTTATGCGAAACTCCGCCAAAATTCTTGGAAAACTCTTCTGGAGCAATGTATCCTACCGTCCCTCTCGCATGTAGCATTGACATGATGCTCTCATTATTTTTGCAGAGCTTAGCAAGACCGAAATCTGAAATTTTGGGACAAAGATCTTTGTCCATGAGTATGTTTTGCGGCTTTATGTCGAAATGCACAATCCTTGATACACAACGATTGTGCAAATACTCTAGGCCGCGAGAGACACCTAACGCTATATCAAATAATTTTTCCCATTCCATATTCGTTGACATATTCTCAGCAAGAAACTTGTCGAGGGATCCATTCGGCATGAACTCGTATATTATAGCTCTCTTGTTCCCTTCATAACAGAATCCAAGCAGAGAAACAATATTAACATGAGAAGTTCTACTCATGCTAGCTACTTCATTGATGAACTCTTCTCCGTTCCCCTCTGACTCCTTCAAGATTTTCACTGCCACATCGCGACGGCTATCAGGCAACTTTCCTTTGTAGACAGTTCCAAATCCTCCTCTCCCAAGAACATCCGCAAATGAGCTTGTCATCTTCTTGACTTTTGCGTAACTATATCGTCTCAACATTACAACCGCTTCAACGTTTTCGCCATTCCAATCACCCTTTCTCGCCTTCTTTGCCTTTACTATCAACGCGACCAAAATAATGATAATAACAACTGAAGCTGCTGATACACCTGCAATAAGAGAATTATCCTTTAAACTTAGGTGTTACGAACATGAGTACTATAAAATGGATTGAGGGATAGGGTACCGAGTATGAGTTTTAATTTCCACAAGTGCATTTTCGAGTTGTTACCGCCGCCTTTTGTGTCAATAAAAGGTTGGCTAAGCAACACTGGACCGCATACTTTAACATAAGTAGTACTCGGAACCGATGGTGTCTGGTACCCGGTAAAGAAGGAACCAGGTTGTTTTAGCCAACAAGTGCCTGACCCATCAAACATCGAGACAGAAGCAACACAAGAAGAGCTAATAAGAAAATTAGCTCTACAAGGCGAAGTACTCGCAAAGAAAACATCCGAGAACGTATCTTTCTCGTATGTAAAGAAACTTGTGTGAGCCAAATCAAGCATGGTTGTGTTGCCAGAGCAATCACTTAGCTCCAATTTTCTCTTGCATCCCTTTCTTCTATCATTCACATCAACAAGATCAAAGTTATAAGACGGACACAAGCAAATCGGTTTGGTATCATTGTAACTACAAATCCCAAAGTTTCCACAATATCCATAAACGAGACATTGGTTAGCAACAGCCGACCATTGAGGCACCACTGGGCCACTGTTTCTATTCTTAGAACTGTAGATTCTCAAATTCCCATCATCGTCTAGCTTCAAGAACCTAAACGTATTCCCACTTTCGCCGAAATCGCCACTGTAAACGGTTTCACTTCTACCATTGAGAGTGGAATCAAAGATCGATAGAACTCCGTTACTCTGCAAACCTAAGACCGGGGACGATAGGTTCGTGCTGGAGGAAAAAAGCCCTTGATTCCAGTATATTGCGCTATTGTTCCACCTAAGAGTAAGATTCCCACTTCTCTCTAACTTAAACGAGTAAAGACCAGATCGGAGAACCGATAGTGAAATTCTGCGACTGGACGATCACGTCCGTCGGGTTATCGAAGGAAGACCAAACCGGAACGCTTCGGTTATTGAGGAGAACAAGTTCACCGGAATCTTTAATCGAACCGGAAGTAACACCGAGACGATCCGTTCCAGAATCCCAAACAGTGGTGCCGGAGCCATTGGTAAGGCGGAGAGAGCCCGAAGTGAGAAGACGAAGTGATCCTCGTGAGTCAACGGTTCCTGCTGACCATATGGTAACGTTTCCAGTGAAAGAAACAGCGGCCAAAAAGGAATCAGGAGAAGACGCTGGAACAAAGGAAACAGAGAAAGTACTATTGGGAGACGACCAAGACTGGTTGGGACCGGATGCGTAAAGGACAGAGCCTAGAGGTATGGTGGATGCTGAAAAAGTGAAGTGGAGGAGAAGGAGAAGCAGAAGAAGATGAAGTAGTTTTGGATATAGCATCTCCACCATTGTTGTGATTATGAAGCTGCTCTGTCTTCTCTGTTTTTTTTTTTTTTTTTCCAATCAATAAGTTATTAATATCTTTTTGACATCATCAATAATTGTAAGTTGACGATGTCCGTCATTGTTGTGATTATGAAGACTCTCACATATCGTTATTTTCCAAAGTTGACAATTCAAATGAGCATTATTGACTTTGATTGGTTACGTTTAGAAAAACGTAGTTCAAAACTTGAAATTGTAATGTACTAATGCTTATCTTGTAGCCAATCAAAGGATTTTGGTTTTTTTCTTTTTAGTGATTTATAAGGGTCAGGGTTTTTCACACTTTTTCAAAATGTTTTATGGTTATACTATTACGGAGGATTTTTATTGAAACGTTCATGTTTATAGGTTATTTTTAGTCTGACTTTATGAATTATTGGCGACAAAGACAATTATTTGTAGAGTTACATGATTTGTGTCCACGAGATGTTCTTATTCCATTTTTGCATGACTAAAGACGAGTTAAAGTTTTTAACAAGAAAACAAAAAATGAGCTGAAGTTTCATCTTTTTTTTTTTTTGTCAACAAGTTTCATCTTTTCAAAATTGAAAGTATCCAAAGTTTTATACATGGAAGAGTCTGTTGACTTAGCTTGAAGTAAAATTTGAAACGGAAATATATTCATGTAAGGGGCCACATAGCTATTAGTTTGCTTTAGGCACAAAAATACCGAGACCAGCAATGAAGCAACATTTTTAAACACACATAAATACTAACACCAACTTGGTAGAAAAATCAATTTATTTATTTTAGTTATTCATATTATCATATTTATATGAATACACATGAATACATCATTATCTCTTGGAATCTCTTTACAATTCCTCATACAGATCAAATCATGAATGTCTTTAATTCATTGAATGAAGAGTTTATTAATCGTTCTTCTTCGTAGTACACTTTGGAATGGTGGTGAGATTGATAGGTTTAGCCTTGAGGACAGGATTTTGCTCGAAAAAGTTGGTTGGCCGAAGTTCAAAGCCGCCAAACACAGTAGGCATCGTCGGAAAATCTTCTTGGCATGGGACATGGTGGAATCCAACGGTGTACCACATCACTATATCTTTCTTCTCTATTTCCCTATCTCTGCCACATTCATTTGTATAATTTTTAATCCCATAAAAAATACACATAAATTTGTCTCATAAGTACAAAATAATATCTAAAATTTTATATAAGAACATGTTATATTCATAAAATTTGTATTGTTTTCAAAAACATTTCAGGTGTTTACATTTTTGTAAATTTGAGACAGATCTATGTATATATACTTTTACTTGTACTAATCCTTTAAAACTATTTCTAATTTTTTTTTTTAATCTTACGTTAAAGTCCTTTAAAGATACGTACAAATATAAAAATTTCATAAAAAAAGGAAGAAAACGAATTAGTTAGTTTTGCACAAAATGTTTTACGAACTAAAAAGATAATATAGTAAAACCTTTTAATCATTTAATTTCAATATACCCATTTGGCCATTTTCCGTAAATCATTTATTTTATTAGTCGTGTTTGAAATGAGTCTTGAAATATATTCGTTGATTTAATAATTAATTATATTAGGATTTAAATTAAATCTGATACTAGGATAGTACGTAGGATGATTCGAATGATGCAACATATGTAAAAGAACCATCTTTTAATAGAGATGTAAAGTACCTTTGGCTCCATACGGCTAATGTGTCGTCACCTTGGCTCCGATCAGCGTACAAACCGCTAGTCCAAACCTCCGATTTGTTATACGGCGTGATCCACACGTTATAGTTGGTGAATGCTGCCCGAATTTGTGGGTAGTCATCTTGGGCAAGAAGTGAGCTTGAAGCCGGCCCAGGAAGTAGACGGTATCCAACCTCATTGCCATGCTTAGTTTTTTTATTAGGGTTAACCACCACCAATTCCTCGGCTCTCAGCCCTAGTTTCACCCGAGCCTCTGCCTCGGTTTTTGCTATGTTTCGTTTTGTTGTCCAATAGCTTTTTCTCGGTGTGTTAACAGATTTTGGAGTCCTCTTAGTCACAAGTTCGTTACGAACAAAGGAATTATCGGTACCATCGATATCAAGATCAAGACGGAATGTCACGAAATGATCGTGGTTGACTCCGACTGTGTTGTCAGCAACAATTGTCCCGTAGATGTCGTCTTCTTTGATCTCTGATGTGTGAACATATTCCACGGGTTTTACTTCTAAAACACCGGTTAAACCGACCTATGCACATCAAAGTTGTAACATTAAAACTAATTAAATTTGGGAATATCTATCTTACATGCATGGTTAAATCTTATTATTTATTTATGCTAGAATTGGAATGTAATTGTGAACTACATACATTTAATTGTTTATTTTGAGTACGACTATAATGTAAAAATATATGTATTTTTAAATTGTTATTACAAATAGTTTTTTTTTTTTTACCTTTTGATTGGCAGTCTTTTACTGATAAAATTGTTTGCGGTTTTGCATTTACATTTAAAATTTTTAAATGATGTTTAATTAATACATCACAATATTGTGTTGCTTTTAAATTTAAAACATAATATTTGATTGTACAAAGGGAGCTGTAACCGAAGATGGAAACGATAAACAACTAAATTCATGTAAATTAAAATGCATGTATAAAGATAGGAAAAGTTTTCGAACGACGTTACCCCCATTTTGATGGAACCGCTAGGTTTGAACTCATACTCAATGATGTAATCGTAGTTCCCCACTGTCGTCACCATCCGGGCTACAAGACTTACATCTGGTCTAACCTCTGTGATCTGCAAAAACAGTTTGTGTAAACAGAATTTTTTTTAATCATCTTATATATCACTAGTAAAATACATAATATATTGTTTATTAACAAAGAAAAAACCTATAAAATATTATAAACGAAGATAGATCTCATGATATGATATTATAATTTATTACTTTTAAGCCGGGTACTTCAGCTTCGGTATGTCGCCACATAATCTCTCCAGCATATTTTTCGAAAATGCACATAACATTTGATACTTTTGTAGGAGTTCCATCTTGTCCCGCAAAGACGCCATCCATGAAGGCGGCATTTGGGGGACAATCTGTGTACGGCTCAAGGGACACGGCAGATTGGCCGCAACCAAATTCACCACAGTCTAGGTAACTGATGAAGTACCAGTCATCATTTGGGTCCATGTAAGGTACGAACATCTCCGACAAATGGCCTTTGTATAGGACTTGCCGGTATTTGTTCATGTCCATGTCGAAAATGGACGCGAGAGAGATGACAAGACCGGCTCGAACGTCAAATGACATGTGAAATTCCCAATTTGCCCATCTATTCACCATCACATCGAAATCATTAAATAGTGTAATTTTTAAGTTCATATTTAACAGTTTTAGTAATAATACTACAATAGTATCAGTCTCCATGTTTCTTTCACAGAGTATATAGTATTAGTAAAAAAAAAAAAGTAGTTCTATTTGTACCATTACCGACTTTAAAATTTTGATTTCCAGATAGCTTAACTATTGTTTGCCAAATTTGATCTATAGCCATAATTGTTCTTCTTTTTTTCTTATAACCATTTTTATAATCATAATTTGTTAATCCTTTTACCTCACGACGTGTCCATCGATCTTAAACCCTGGACCGTCCGGCTGGTAAAAGACGGCACTTCGAAGTGACGGGCCAAACGGCGGCTTGAGATTTGAGATACGGTACTCTCTCCCGTCAGCCTTTGGCATAGGACCCGTGAACCTGTCCTTGAACTCCACTACTTTCATCTGGTCAAGGTTAACGATTATCGTCATGCCTTCAATTGGTCTAAGATACGTATTCACCGATCCGTTTAGATAAAAGGGTATCGTTCTTATAGACCTCTTTGTCTTCTTCTCACCGAACCATCCCATCGTGGAGGACGTGACCACAACTTCCGACAAGTTCAAGCCGCGTTTCACTATCGAGTCACAGAACGGCTTGAACTTAAGAACAAGCGCGGTGGCTGCTTGCTGCTCGTCAATAGTGAGCTTAGGGTTACCATTTCCTACGTGGATCTTGTTTGAGACAATGGCTCGAGTGGAAAAGTCAACTACGATCTCTCGGCTCTTGCCCTTATCTCGGGCAATGACAAAAGCTTGACGTGGTGGTGGTTTGACGTTGTGGCCTGGTGAGGAGTGCCACGACAAGATCACTAGGGACTTGTCGGGCTCGTTGAGACCCACGTATTGGAAAGTGAACTTATGGTTATGACCAATAGGGTACGACTTATTGATGATGGTTCGGACGAGTTTGAGTTCAGTCTCGGTCAAGGGATCGAAGGGGTGAGGCGGCGGGATGAAGCTCGATGAGGAGATTACGAAAATGGAAGAAAATAGAAAGATGGTGAAGTGAACTTGAGCCATTGCTTTGTGATTTGATTGAGTTGGAATCTCTATATTACATATAGCCAAAATTTTCCCTTTATTTTGCACATGGAACACACAAGTATACATGTAATTTAGCGTTTTGTGGTCCTAAACATTAAGTTCTTTCACAAAATATATGTATCTAATAATAATAACAATCTCAATAAATACCTTTTGCAAATCCGAATAGTTGTATATTTTCGTCGCAATTTTTGATAAGCCTTTTTTTAATAGAGAAATTGTTAAAAATGCCCCTTTTTCAATACCCCTTTTCAAAAATGCCCCCTTTGAGAGTCCATTTTTAAGTTTGCCCTCTTTTAATTTTTAATGACCATTTTACCCTTATTTGAAACAAAATTAGGTCCACAAAATACAAAATATTTTTTGGCGGAAAAAGTGATCCCGCAATTTTCCCGCCAAAACACTTGTAAAAACCTTTAAAATACCTTGTAAAATTTTCCCGTAAAAATTTTTCCCGCCAAAAAACTTTTTTTGCGGGAAAAGTGATTCCGCAATTTTTTTGGCGGGAAAAATTTACAAGGTATTTTAAAGGTTTTACAGAGTATTTACAAGTGTTTTGTAAGGTTTTACAATGTATTTTAAAAGGTTTTACAAGGTACTTATAAGGTTTTATAAGGTATTTATAACTTGTAAAACCTTATAACTTGTAAAACCTTATAAAACAGCTTGTAAAATCTTATAATATCTTATAAATACCTTATAAATACGTTGTAAAACCTTTTAAAATACATTGTAAAACCTTATAAATACCCTGTAAAAAACCTTTAAAATACCTTATAAATTTTTCACGCCAAAAATTTCCCCGCCAAAAATTTAACGCCAAAAAAATTGCGGAATCACTTTTCCCGCAAAAATTGAAAAAATTTTATGGGAAAAATTTACAAGGTAATTTAAAGGTTTTACAAGTTTTTACAAGTGTTTTGGTGGGAAAAATTGCGGGATCACTTTTCCCGCCAAAAAATATTTTGTATTTTGTGGACCTAATTTTGTTATATTTCTTTATATATTTGTGATATCTTTTATTAAAAGAAGGGTAATTTAGTCATTTTGTACATAAAAAGGGGTATTTTTAAAAATGTACAGCCAAAGGGGGCATTTTTTAAAAGGGGTATTGAAAAATGGGCATTTTTGTGAATCTCCCTAATTTTTAACTATAAAAAATCTGAACAATTATGTCTTTAATTTATATATTTTTAGTTTTCTAGGCAAGCCAAGGAGATAGAAATTGTTCCCAATCACCGGAATCCCTCAACGGTTGGCTCTCATTAACCACCTAAAACTTTGTGGCTATAAATAACTATTTTCTTGTACATATATACAAATGTACTATTTAATTAAGGAATATGTTGCAATATAGTACGTTTCCCAAACTTAATTGTGAAACTAGTACCGTTACTATTTATAATTTGGTGAAAGAGAGAGTGTGAGAGAGAGAGAGTGTGAGACGTATAAGAGTGTGAGTGTGAGAGAGAGTGAGAGAGAATGAAGCATTTACGAACGAGCATTTTAATTATTAAACTTTGAGGGAATGAAGTATAATAAAGAAAAAAAAAATTTAATTTAAAAAAAAACCTGACCCACACTCTCTCACACTCGCATAAGAAAAAGAAATTAAAAAAAAAAAAACTCTGACCCACACTCTCTCTCTCACACTCACACTCTTATACGTCTCACACTCTCTCTCTCACACTCTCTCTTTCACCAAATTATAAATAGTAACGGTACTAGTTTCACAATTAAGTTTGAGAAACGTACTAATTTCCCAATACACCCTTTAATTAATGCCAACATTTTTCTGTTATCAATATAGTTATATATTATGTAATTTTACATAGGGAATTAGGGATGGATCCACGTACGACAACATTAACACACTGTAAATTACTAAACTACGAATATTAATCTTTAATGTTTTACAATTAACTAATCAAATATATATATATATATATATATATAGTGAACATCATTATTTCTTTCATATCATAATTTAACATCCACTTAATATTTACCATCTAGTTTTGTTTAAAGAAATTATAACACCTTATCCTACCATTTTTATTTCATACTAGATGAATACCCACGTTACGCGCGGGTTTGTTTTAAAAATTGTTAAGAACAAATTATGTTGATTGTTCTTAAAATAGAATTTGTGGTTGTATTTTCTTAAAAGTTGAATTTGTTCAGTTTTTAACTAAAAAAAAATTGAACAGTTGTATCTTTTCGTCGCAACCTTTCGTTAAAATTTTTTTTTAATAACTATAAATTATAACTAATAATAGAGTTAGTATATAGAAGAAAACTTAGTGTGCATTTTCAAGTTTAATTTTTTTTTTGACAATACATGTACTAATGCTAACCACAAACAAAAAGAAAGTGTTGGCTTTAAAAGTCGGAATTTCTCAGTTTCTTGGTTGATTTAAAGAAGAGAAACTTACAAAAGCTGACTGGCTTTTGATACTTCGGTTTATTTTTTTGGAAGAGTTTACAGAGAACAACATGAGTAAATTTCTTTTTTATTCACAAAACAAATTAGAGAACTTGAGAAGAAAAAGGCAAAAACCAAATATTTAATTAGTGTTCTTTTAACTTTTGAAAAATATATTTTAAACGTTTTTGGGTCCAAGACATAAACTGACTCGTCATAAAGAAGGTTGTACACATAAATTGTCTCGTTATATATCAAGAGGGATTTGCGGTCCTAGACATCAAGATGGCTTATATAGCTTAGCTAGATATTAATAAACCATCTACAAGTTAATAGGAAAAACTACAACAATTACCACTTTTTTTCAATTTCTTTCAAAATCTACCACATTCATAACTTCTTTTCAACTCCTACCACATTTAGTATTTGAAATTACTAATTTGCCCTCCCTATTTATCTTCTCTATTTATCTCTCCTCCCTATTTATTTCTCCTCCCTATTTATCTTCCCTACAACATTAGCTTCCCTATTTATCTATTTCTCCCTCGAGACACGTGCACTTTAACCAAGAAACATTATATCTCCTGAGACTAAACAATTAACTTTCGTTTTTGTCTCCAGATCTTGTCCCCGATTGGAAATTCTCTGTTGCGTCTAGATCTTGTCCCCGATTTCATTATCTTGCTCTATTATCATGAATCCCATATCTTGTCCACCAATTGTTCTCATTTAAGGGTTTCGAAGTTTATTTAGATTTTTCACCATCTATTTTGGTCCACAGATTAGTTGAGCATTATTGTCTTCACCTACCCGGATTACTGAATTTTTTTTTCCTTCTATTGCAAAATAACAAAAAAGATCCAGTTGTCCCCGAGTACTATTACTCATTCTATTACTCATTCGATATGAACTTGTCCCCGATCTAATTCAATTACTCATTCGATCTGAACTTGTCCCCGATCTAATTCTACTACTCATTCGATATGAACTTGTCTCCGATCTAATTCTATTACTCAGTCGATCTGAACTTGTTCCCGATCTAATTCTTTTACTCATTCGATCTGAACTTGTCCTCGATCTAATTCTATTACCCATTCTATCTGAATTGTCCCCGATCTAATTCTATTACTCATTCGATCTGAACTTGTCCCCGATCTAATTCTATTACTCATTTGATATGAACTTGTCTCCGATCTAATTCTATTACTCATTCGATCTGAACTTGTCCCCGATCTAATTCTATTACTCATTCGATCTGAACTTGTCCTCGATCTAATTCTATTACCCATTCTATCTGAATTTGTCCCCGATCTAATTCTATTACTCATTCGATCTGAACTTGTCCCCATATAACATATTATTTAAATAAAATTATATGCAATTGTAAACGTGCAACATTTATTGCAACTTGTCCCTTTATCTGACACACCAGTCTGTCACCATCAAGGGCAATTTCGTCCACAAATTTGCATGTGGCAATGAAATGTGGTAGATTTTGAAAACTGTTTCCAATTGTGGTAGATTTTGAAAGCCACTTTTCAAAAAGTGGTACATTTTGCAAGATTCCCAAGTTAATATTCGATAAATTAATAAACACAATAAAATAACTAATATAAAAATAATTAATGTCCCGAATTACGTCAATGTAAAAATAAATAATATGTAATAAAATAACAAATTTAAATTTATATGTAAGGTAATAATTATATAATTTTTTGCATACACAACTAAGTTAATTATTTATTTATTTTTTTTGAAAACGACACAACTAAGTTAATATAATTGAATATGAGTTGATTGTCATCTTCCTTTATTTAAAGTTGAATCTCTTTAAAGGTTATCTCTAATTTTTTTTTGTTGCATCAAAAACCATTTAAAACTGTCTTCTCGGCCTACCTCCAAAACATGTGAAAATGCGATAATTAATATTTGTCTTGAATTTATCATAATTATAATACGTGAAACTTCTTCTAAATATATCATAATTATAATAATGTTGTCTTGAATTTCATCCTCAACATTACGGATTTTTTTTAATCAAAGAGTTTTTATTTTTATTGACATTTTTAGGAGCATAGGTGGACACAAAAGACAATTAATCACCTCCTCTTTGAATGCCCACCAGCGCTTCAAACTTGGGCTCTTTCACTGATCCCATCATTACCTTCATGCTTCCCTAGTCAGTCCCTTTTCTCAAATTTGGACTTTCTATTCTGGAGAGCTAAAAGGATGATGAATGGAGAGGAGATTGGACATTTTTTTCCATGGATACTCTGGTATCTATGGAAGGCTCGAAATAGCTTTATCTTTGAAAATATTCGTGAATCTCCTCAAAACACGCTACATCATGCATTTCAAGAGGCAAAGGATTGGAAGGCGGCAAATACTTCAGAGGACCTCCTCGTTGAAACTGCGAGACACCCATCTAATCTTTCAATCTTAGGAGACACTTCACCTGAATGCCAAATTGATGGCTCTTGGCATGCTACTGACACTCTCAGTGGGCACGGGTGGATCATTATGAATAAAGAATCCCCTATATTGCTTGGATTGAAAAGTTCTCGTCGGGGTCTATCGCCT